GGGGGGGGTGCAAATGTTTAAAAAACAGGCCAAAACGCCGTTTTTGGGATTTTTTGAAAAATTTTGACCAAAAATTGAATTTTTCAGCGCGTGCTCCCCTTCAAAATTTGCATATATTGAAAAATTTTAGGGTTTGTCGACCGAAAATTGATATCATAAAACATACCAAAGAGGGACCCTTTGGTTGCCGAGGGGGTCAAATCCCTGTAGAGGTCGGACTTTTGTTGTTAATTAATTCAATGAGAGTAAAAGTATTAGCCAATCAAATCTCTTAAAATTTTTGGAATTTTGTTAGCTAACAGGCTGCAAATTTTTGAAGCATTTTTTGTCCAATCACAACTTGTCTTAATTTATTGAAGAGTTTACTGATTTAATTTAATTAAAATGGGAGGTAATTAGTTGTTTTGGCTATCCGGGAATGCGGCTCCGTGGGTACGCACCCTCTGGAGGCTAGGGTAAAACTCTACGTAGGACACTTAAGGGGGAATTCAGCCCTACTTCCCCGATATCAGCCCTGTATTGTTTATTGAAAATGATCCAGAAATCGGTTATAACCGAAAAGACATTATTATGGAAAAAATATATAACAAACCGATCATCAAGAATAAGAAATCGAAAGAGAAGTTTCTCGCACAAAGACCGTAATTTATGTGTTAACATGGACTTTAACACAAGGGTTTTTTAAAAAAATTGGGCACAGGAAAATTAATTGTACAATTTTTTTTTGTAAAAAATTAATTTTCAGTAAATTATTTGTAAACTGCACAGTAGGAAATCATATAAAATAAATAAAGATTTTATCATGTACAGTACAACAAATGCAATTTTGTTTTGAAAACTTTAATTCCATTTGGTTGATATTGATTTATATATTTATGAATGTAACTTTATTTTACCACAAGGCGGCTTAGATAACGATCTGGTTGACTACATATGCGTCGTATCCTTGCATTGCAGTACATGTTAAAACACGCGTTGCGTCACAATTATTCCAGCTTGCAAAATTTATATTAAAAGAGCATATGCACGGAAAAAAAAACAGGAAGAGAATCTGAGAACTTCTTTAGCGATGTAAAATCACCTAAATGATAACTTCTAAATTAACCTGAGCTGACCCAAAATGAACTTTCTAAATATCTTTATTTTTGCGTTTAGAAATACAAGCTGAATTTTGAAATAATTTATACTCAGCTCAGCGAAAAAATCAATAGAGTCAGTTCTGCAAAAAGTCATTTTGATGAAAAAATCTTAAGAAAAAATTGTTTGCCAACCTTAAAATCAGCGAGGACTATTTATTGCCTAAACAGAGATAATATTCGCTCGAGATTAATTAATTGCTCCTACTTGGAAAAAGTGCTTTTATTTAAAAATCTTTCTCTATTATTTTTATCCTTGTTACTATTTTTAAGAGCTTTGAATTCATAAAGATCGGCGCATTTTCTCTCTATGACAATTTACTACAAATATATATTATCACGGCAAAACCAATAGATTTTTTATTGATTCTTAAAGGGTGTGGAGTTCGTCTACACAAAAAAAAAACTTGAATAAAAATTGAAAAAAGAAACTCAATGAGAAGTTTTTGCTCAGTATTTAAGTGAAGCATTCCATCTCAAACCTTTTGCGCACGACGGCCTGATTTTTTGCTACGTATTCGTATAGCAGTTAAAGCTAAATTTCAGTTTTTTATGGTAAATTGCTAGGCACTTTTTGCAAAGTTAAAACATGTCATCTCTTGAATCTATTCGGAGTATTTGAAATAAACAAAATTCTAATGGAAGCAGAAAAATATTTCATAAAAACAGTTATTGTTCCGATTTTTAAAACAAAAGTAACGAAATATTTGTGCACGGAGTGGGTTTTTTTCTTCAGACAAATTTCGACTTTTTGACTAGCCATTTTTGACTGAATTTTTCTTTTATCATTCGAAAGCTATTGTTGTCTTGAGCTTAAATTTGAAAAGATATTTCACCTGTGATTAGTTTTCAAAAAATTATGTGGGTTTAAAATTGCCATTTTTGACATTTTAGCCAAATTTGGGACAATTAACGAGCGATATATTTCGCGCTATTAACGCGTGAGCGGAGATTTAATCCGTCTTTGAAATCGTTCCAAATTGGTTCAAGGAAGTTTATATGCCACAATTGATTTGTTAATAGGAGCAAATTTTATCACTCTTTACTTAATATGGCGTGTGGGGGGATGTTTTTACAAAAAATTCCAAATTCTAAAAAAAAAATTAATTTTATTATTTACATTTAAATTTTTCATGTCATTAGTGCTCCATAGACCTTAAAAGGCAGTCAGAACATTCAGGGCTTCGCCTTGATACGAGCAGTCTTGTTTCAATTTGATTTACCAAAACATTTTTTTTCTTACACTATTCGTTTCTTAAAGAGTTTGCGTAACAATAAACCCAAACAAAGCCAAACAGAAAAGAAATTGAAATTTACAAAAAAAAATGTAAGAAAAAAAATAAAGAAATCTACCTTTTTAACTAAATTCTATATTAAAATTGGTAAAGTTTTTCTAGTTTGCTTTCCACAATATTAAATGCTAGCTCAGTTTTACAAAAAGCGTGTGAGGAGCATTCTAATTCTAAACAATCGGTCCAGTAAATCGACATATTTTTGGTTTAAAGTTTCCGATAAAAAAACAAAAGTTTTAAGGAAACCTAAAGAGAAAACTTACAAGGCTGTTTGTATCAAGTGAGATAACCTGAAATGCTTGACTCTATTTAAAACTCAATTAATTAAATATTTGATGTTCAAAAACTGATGAAGTTCTTAGTTAAATTCGCCATGTAAATCACCAATCGATGTTTTTTTGCGTCTAGTCTAAATAGATCAAATAACTTGCTTCAATTCAGTTTGAGCGGGTTCAATTCCATAGAAAAAACATAAGAAAAAAAGTTTAAAAATCATTTACAGAAAAAGAGATTATTTGTTCAAAATTTGAGCCAGTTTCTCGTTTGGTAGTTAAAACTTAAACTAAGCGTTGAAGTGCCTAATAAAATTATTCAAAAACAGATACATCTAAATATTTAGAGCAACAAGTTAAAATTTAAAAATAAAAAAAAGGAAAAAAAATTTCTCTCACAACAGCATAGTTTGAAATTTTGTCTCGAAGAAAAATCTTTGATTTTTATCTAGCTCTTTTGATGGTTTTTTGTTTTAACCCTGAAACTTATCAACTGCTTCGATGGTGTTTTGCTTACACTCTGAAACTGGTGAGCTGATCTCTAGAATTGAAAACACACTTCATTTGTAATCCAACTCTTCTTTTAATAAAATTTGAGAAAGTTTGCAAGGGTTCGAAAGGATTGCGGGGGATTCAAAATGTTTTACAAAAAAGTTTCCTGATTTTTGTTACCAGTTTTCTTTTGATGCATAGCGTAATCAGCAAGTTGAACTTGCTCAAAAACTATTCAAAATTGTTGAGCCAAGCTCTTAAAATAATACGAAATTGTTGAGCTATTTCGCCCAAATAACATGTTATTGAACGAGAAACTTTTTATTTGGTACTTGTTATAGCGTGTTGACGGGGATTTGCAGCAAAAACAATTTTCCGATATTTTTCAATGTATATGGGCAAACTTGTTGGGGCGACTATTTTCGAAGAAAATGACTGACTATTTGTGATCAGGTGGTTTTTTCTCCAGGCAAATGTCGATTTTTTAACTAACCATTTTTGACGGTTTTTTTTAATACCATTCAAAAAGTATTGTAGACTTGGGATCAAATTTAAAAAACACATTTTTCATTTGTATCATTTTTTGTAAAGTATTGTAGGTTTAAAGATTGCCAATTTAGCCAACTTGCGACATTTAACGGGCGATGTATTTCGCGCTATTAACGCATGAGCGGAGATTTACTTCGTCTTAGAAACTGTTTCAATTTGTTTTGATGTCGGCTCTATATCACATTGCAAAAATAGCGTCTGGGGATTTTGAATTTTCCGACTGCGTTTTCACTTCTTTGGAGTATTGGAAAACAAAATGGTTGATGAAACTTTCAAAAAAACTGAAAATTTTCAAAAGTTATTTTTGATGTTTTTTTTGAAAACTCCTACACGCTATGTATGGAACAAAGCGTCTTTTGTTTCGCATATAGCAAAGTAGACCAAAAAGCATGGCTCAATCCAATTTGAAACAATTTTTATTACGGATTAAATCTCCGCTTCCGCTTACGCGCCAAGACAATTTGGCTGATCTCAAAAGAAAATTCGCCCCCCACCCCCTCGAGAAACTCCTACATCCGCCCCTGGGTGTAGTCACGTCCGATTGGCTGCTTAGAGATGATTGCATTATCTTACGTATTTACCCATTGAAAATTTGCACCAAGAAATTATATTTTTGGCGTGGATTTCATGTTGAGTGTCAAAAACTTATTCGCCGTACAAAGTGGAGCACGCTCATGTGTTTTTATTTATAACCATACTGCATGATTGTTACATAAAACGTATTTACGCATTGAAACTTTGCACCCAGAAATTATATTTTTGGCGTGGGTTTCAGGTTGAGTGTCAAAAACTTACTCGCCGTACAAAGTGGAGCACGCTCATGTGTTTTTATTTATAACCATACTGCATGATTGTTACATAAAACGTATTTACGCATTGAAAATTTGCACCCAGAAATTATATTTTTTGGCGTGGATTTCATGCTGAGTGTCAAAAACTTATTCGCCGTACAAAGTGGAGCGCGCTCATGTGTTTTTAATTATAACCATACTGCATGATTGTTACATAAAACGTATTTACGCATTGAAACTTTGCACCCAGAAATTATATTTTTGGCGTGGGTTTCATGTTGAGTGTCAAAAACTTACTCGCCGTACAAAGTGGAGCACGCTCATGTGTTTTTATTTATAACCATACTGCATGATTGTTAAAGTAAATTTCTGGAGTGTTAAAAACTAAGCTGAAATATATATGTATTCATTGGCATAAAAAGAACAACGGTTCGTTGGAATGGAGAGATAAAACTGCTATATGGGGGATTAAGGAAGGATTTGTAAAACAGCGTGGATCACATTGAATTTCTGGACGGGGGCTCAATTGAAATTTGTTGGGTATGTGAATTTCTGATAGTCTTGGATTTACTTATACCACGAAGTCGGTTCATAGATTAGCTCTTTTATTGCCACGTTGAGAGCAAGTTTTGAGTTATCCTGCACTTATATTACTGCAAAATATATTTTTTTTTGAAAAAAAAAAATTTTCATGCGTTTTGTCCCGTTTCGGTATTTTGAAAGTTGCCATCAAAAATGTACCGACTCAAGACCGATTTCTTTGACAGGTTTTTCAGAGGAAAACAATAGCCAAAAATCCTAAAAACAACAAACACTCTTCTAAAATACGAAAAAAGCAGCTATGAAAATCAATCGGCGTGAACATAAAGCCTCTCTCCTTGTTCAATTTATTGTATTACTCACTGAAATTGCCCATGTTGTAAGTTACGACTCAGAGGAACAGTCTCTTCGCTCGGATGTGAGTATAGCCGTTGGAGGGTATGATGTGGACAGTCCGGACCAGGAGCGGAAGCTGATTGAGACCATGTTTACAGACTACAATAGATGGTCCAGACCCGTTCAGACACAGAGTGAAGTGGTGCACATCAGCCTAACATTATATGTAAGCTCACTTGACCTAACGTCTCATTGTAAGCTCACTTGGCCTAACTCCTTATCGTAATCTCACTCGGCCTACCTCTATTCCGTGAGTTCACTTGACCTGACTCTATTCGTAAGCTCACTTGGCATAACTCTATTCCGTGAGCTCAGTTCGCCTAACTCGATTAGTAACCGCATACTTTTTAAGGCTAGTTTTGTTGATTGGGGAAGAAACCGTTTTCAAGGTTTTTCATTTTTCATGCAAGAAAACCTTAACAGAAAGCAATTGCGTACCCGTAGACCATTTTTTAAAGAAAAGCGTTTGGTTGTATGTACCCAAAATTGTCTTTTTTTGCAATTTTTTTTTCAACAAAAAGCTCAATTTTTTTCCAAGGTTTGTTTTTATTTCACACAAAGTTAGGTATCACAGACACACGGTCAATGATTGAAAATATTAGAACTAACTTTTTGTAAATCAAAGTAAATCATATACACGCGACTCGCCAAAAAAATACGTTTTTTTATTAGATTAAATCTATATTCTCATCATTGTAAGCTAAGCTCGACTTATTTTTTCAGGTGATTTTTTATGATTTTTGACCAGAAAAAACCAAGAAGAAAGTAGCAAAATGTTCTATCTATAATCCGATCTTCTCTGCCAAAAATTTTTTTAAACTTCTCGACCTGAGTTTTTTTGTTTCTTTTCCCAAATAATCACTAAGCACAAACGGTTTTATTGTTTCAAAAGCATTTTGTTATTAGTCCAACAAGAATTCTCGTACATCAGGGCAAAGCCCTGAATAATTCGACTGCACTCTGAGGCCGACTAAAAGGCGTGGTAAAAGAACGCGTTTTACAAGAACGCAACTTTTCAAGAACCCAATGGTAAGACAACGCAATATATCGCGCGTTATTTACACGGTGTTCAAAGACACCAAAAATATCGCGCGTTATTTGCGTTCGTTTAAAACAAAGCAAATAACGGTGACAAAGAAAATGACACGAAATATAAGTATTTTGCATTTTCATCAAACGTCAGAACATTAACAAATGAGAACAATAAGGATAGCCGGTTGCTGTGCAATTAGCACAGAATGTTTCGACCACATTCTCAGAATTTTTTTTCAAGATAGTTTTTTTTCTTTTAGGTCCTGTGATGAAAGAGCTATATAAACGCGTAGAAAACTAGTGAGCTAGGCATAACGACTACAATCTATTCAAAATAATAAATAAACAAAAAAATGAAAAGAAAATGTTTTCAAAATTTTTTTTAATTTAAATTTTTTTTGCACTAAAAATCTCATTTTTTTTGCAAGAGAAGCGCTATATAAAGCATCCAAACTCCAATTTATTCAGTAAATTTATCAATTTTTAGCCTTAATTAGTAATTTTTTACATAACGAACGTTAATCGATCGCTTTACTCGCTTTAAAATAGACGAAATATGAGAAACATCACAGCGATTTCTCTCGACGGCGCTGTTTTTTTTTTGAAAATTCTATAATGACTTCCGAATCACGACTGAGAGGATTTTACTTTGTTATATTTTTCTACCCATCCCGATAATTATTTGTGGTACCTGATTTTGCGCGAAAATCAAAAAAAAACACACAAGTATACAAATTTCCTCCCCATTTTCAATGGTCGGAACAACTACATAAAAAGATGGCAAAACTGCGCTGCTCAACGTTATAAGGTGATGTTTTTGCTAAGGCGCTCTTGGATCGAATTTAAAGCAATCATTTTTATTTATCGCGAGCAAAAAGATTTCAACCCTTTCTGCTTTTTTTTCCGTCTTTTTTTTTGAAAATGTAACAAAATAGTTTTGCTCGGAGTTGTTTTTTTTCCTCCCGAAAAACGTCATCTTTATATCTGAAATTTTTTGACGAATTTTGAATCCGTCTATCAAAGAAAATTAATTATGCTAGGTGTGATTTTTTTATTAGTCAATTATTGGCGATCGAAAAAATAAAAATAAAGTTTTTTTAAAGCTCATTGAAGTTTTTGACTCAAATTTCAAATTTAGTAGAATTCTTTTCCAATATAAAATGCAAAATTCTGGGGTTTTAAAAATCGCTAACGCGTAGAAAATTAATGAGCTAGACATGAACGACTACAATTCTCTTCATGATAATAAATAATCAAAAAAATAAAAAATTGTTTTCAATTTTTTTTTAATTTAATTTTTTTTGCACTAAAAAACTCAAATTTTTTTTTGCAAGAAAAGCGCTATATAAATCATTTCAAAACTATAATTTATTAAGTAAAATTATCAATTTTTAGCCTCAATTATTAATTTTTATACATAACGAGGGTTAATCGATCGCTTTACTCGCTTGAAAATAGACAAAATATCAAAAGCTTCGCAAAGCGATTTCTCTCAACACCGCTGTTTTTTTTGAAAATTTTATAAGGAAGTCCAAATCACGACTAATTACACACATGTATACGAAGTTCACTCCCATTTTCAATGGTCGGAACAGTTCCATAAAAAGTCGGTAAAACTGCGCTGCTCAATTTCATAACCAGGCGATGTTTTTACTAATGCGCTCTTTGATCGAATTCAAAGCAATCATTTTTTTTATCGCGAGCAAAAAGATTTCAACGCTTTCTGCTTTTTTCCGTTTTTTTTAATGAAAAGTAACAAAACTGTTAGGCTCGGATTTTTTTCCTCCAGAAAACTTCATTTTTATATCTGAAAGAAGTTTTTGACGGGTTTTGAATCTGACTATCGAAGAATTATATTTATTTGTGGTACATGATTTTGCAGGGAAATACAAAATACACACATGTATACGAAATTCACCCCCATTTTCAATGATCGGAACAGTTCCATAAAAAGTCGGCAAAACTGCGCTGCTCAATTTCATAACCAGGCGATGTTTTTACTAATGCGCTCTTTGATCGAATTCAAATCAATCATTTTTTTATCGCGAGTAAAAAGGTTTCAACGCTTTCTGCTTTTTTCCGTCTTTTTTTCTAATGAAAAGTAACAAAACTGTTAGGCTCGGATTTTTTTTCCTCCAGAAAACTTCATTTTTATATCTGAAAGAAGTTTTTGACAGGTTTTGAATCTGACTATCGAAGAATAATAAATATGTTAGGTGTGATTTTTTTTATTTGGCAATTTTTGGCAATCGAAAAAGTAAAAATAAAGTTTTTTTTAAAACCCATTGAAAATTTAGACTCAAATTTCAAATTAAGAAGGTTTTTATCCAAATTAAAATGCAAATTTCTGGGGGTTTGAAAATTGCCAAATTGATCATCTTCTGGACTAAACTATGCACGCTTTGAAATTTTTTTTCTGAATGCTGAGAGCGTAACAAACGTTTTTTGTGGCGAATTATTTCGCGCTATAAAATCGTTGCAAATTGAGTTGAGGCTAGCTAATCGGTCTCAATAAATTCGTATGGCTCAATTTTAATATTTGGTGATGGCCCAATTTTATAGTTTTTCAATACTTTCTGTTAACAAAAACTATTCGTAATGACTAAAAGGACAGTCGGAAGAACATTTAGGGCTTCAACCTGTATACGAGCAGTCTTGTGTTTATATAAACCAAAACAGGCTGAGTTCGAATTTCACCCGTGATCTTTTTCCGTAAAAATAGGGAGACTTAAAGATAGCCAATTTGGGATGATTAACGCGCGATATACTTCAAACTATTAACCCGTAGGCGGACGCTTAATTCGTATTAGATTTGGTTCCAATGAAACACAGGCATGTTTTTTGGTCCATTTATTTCTGTGCATTTTATGAAATTTATCACTCCGCACTTTACAAAGCGTGTGGGGAATAGTTTTAAAAGATGGATTTAAAAAAAAAAAATTTCAAAGCAAACAATAATCTACTGACGTAAAATCAACAGATACAATCATTTTTGTTCATTTACCTTTCGAATGGCATGATTTTATCGCGTGGTACTGTCATAATTTAAAAAATCTAGATTTTTTTCAGCTTTGAAAGTCTGCATATATGATAACAAGTTCGCTCGAATCAGGGCTGAACCCTGAATATTCCCACCGCCCATTAATTTGTCTCGAATCGTTTTTGATGTATGCAATAATGACAAACTGAAAACTTTGAGCTGATAAAAAGAAAAAATTTAAATTTTGAGTCGTTTATGAAATTAATACGTCAATTAGCTTGCCTCAATTCAATTTGCAACCATTATGAGTGCGCATAAATTCCGACTCATAAATAATTCCCGCAGTGAAAAAAAATATCAAAGTATTATTCGATTAGCAATGCAGCACTTCGGTGAAGTACAAGCATACTCGCTTGGCAATCACAAGATTTCCGGATCAAAGACCATACGCAGTCAACTTTTCTAAAATTGGTCTGAATAAAAAAGTCACCCCGGGCGAATATATTCCTCTGTCTTTGAAAATCGAAACGAAACTTGGACGAAATTTTTTTTGGATGACTATTTGTAACGGTTGACTGTTGGTATTCGTAGTGTTGAGCGATAACTAGTAACGCAGACGTAAAAGTCGTAAAAGCTGGAGTTGACAAAAAATATATATAATTGAACACCTTAGAAACTTAACAGCAAAATGTTGCGGAAAAATAACAAAACTGTTTGTATCAGTGCGAAACCTTGAATGTTTCCGCTGCAATTTCATTCTTATGGACTATTCTTAAGTACAATGTTTGATGAAATTAAAAAAAAAATCAAAATTTGTTTCTGATGTTTTTTGAAATCCCCCCACGCTATGTAAAGCGACTTACTTTTGTTTCGCATATAGCAGAGTAATAAATAGACAAAAAAGCATGCCTCAATTCAATTTTTAACAATTTCTAGAACGGATTAAATCTCCGGTTACTCGTTATAGCTCATAATGTATCGGGCGTTAATTGTCCCAAGTTGGCCAAGTTTGCAATTTTTAAACGCCCATAATTTTACATAAGAACAATCACAGCTGAATGATCTTCATAATTTTGAGCTCAAAACAACACTACTTTCCGAATGGTTTGAGAAAAATTTTCAAAAATTGCTAGCTAAAAGTTTGTTTGGGGAAAAACTACCCGAGCACAAGTTTTCCATCATTTTCTTCAGAAGCCGTAACAATACTTCGACTGTTTTGATTGTTTTTGAGAATCTCATAAAATCAATTTCAAGCAATTTCTCATTTTGCCGTGCTCGATAGCTTTACTGCGGATCTAATCGGTACAGGCTTGTTTTTGGATAGGCTTCACTCCGGTCGCAAAAATTTGCTGCATTTGTGTGGTGTCGAGTGTGCAAAACTCATAGCCAATTGAGATCCAAGAGTTTTTTATCGCCTCTAACCAATCATAGTCCGTTTACGAACCGTCGCCTGTTACGAATCGTCGTCTCTTATGACTCGTCGTCTCTTACGACTCGTTGCCTCTTACAATCGTCGTCTCTTATACGATCTTTTTCCGTAAAAATATGGAGACTTAAAGGGATGATTAACGCGCGATATACTTCAAACTATTAACCCGTAGGCGGACGCTTAATCTGTATTAGAATTGGTTCTAATGAAACTCAGGCATGTTTTTTTGTCCTTTTATTTCTGTGCTTTTTCTGAAATTTATCACTCCGAACTTTACAAAGCGTGTGGGGAATAGTTTTAAAAGATGGATTTTTCGTAAAAAAATTTCAAAGAAAACAATAATCTACTGATGTAAAAACCAGTCAGTCAGAAAATCAACAGATACAATCATTTTTGTTCATTTACCTTTCGAATGGCCTGATTTTATCACGTGATACTGTTATAATTAGAAAAAATTCTAGATTTTTTTCAGCTTTGAAAGTCTGTATATATGATAAAAAGTTTGCTCGAATCAGGACTGAACCCTGAATATTCCCACCGCCCATTTATTTGTCTTGAATCGTTTTTGATATATGCAATATTGACACAATGAAAATTTTAAGCTGATAAAAAGAAAATTTTTAAATTTTGTGTCATTTATGAAATTAATACGTCAATTAGCTTGCCTCAATTCAATTTGGAACCATTATGAGTGCGCATAAATTCCGACTCATAAATAATTCCCGCAGTGAAACTAAATATCAAAGTATTTTTCCATTAGCAATGCAGCACTACGGTGAAGTGCTAGCATACTCGCTTGGCAATCACAAGATTTCCGGATCAAAGACCATACGCAGTCAACTTTACTAAAATTGGTCTCAATAAAAAAGTCACCCCGGGCGAATATATTCCTCTTTCTTTGAAAATCGAAACAAAACTTGGACGAACATTTTTTTAGATGACTATTTGTAACGGTTGACTGTTGGTATTCGTAGTGTTGAGCGATAACTCGTAACGCAGACGTAAAAGTCGTAAAAGCTGAAGTTGACAAGAAATATATTTAATTAAACACCTTAGAAACTTAACAGCAAAATGTTGCGGAAAAATAACAAGACTGTTCGTATCAGTGCGAAACCCTGAATGTTTCCGCTGCGATTTCATTCCTATGGACTATTCTAAAATAAAATGTTTGATGAAATTTAAGAAAAAAGAAAAATTTTCAAAAGTTGTTTTTGATGTTTTTTGAAAACCCCCCACGCTATGTAAAGAACAAAGCGACTTTTGTTTCGCATATAGCAGAGTAATTAATAGACAAAAAAGCATGCCTCAATTTCAATTTTTAACCATTTTCTAGAACGGATTAAATCTTCGGTTACTCGTTATAGCACATAATGTATCGGGCGTTAATTGTCCCAAGTTGGCCAAGTTTGCAATTTTTAAACGCCCATAGTTTTACATAAAAACAATCACAGCTGAATGATCTTCATAATTTTGAGCTCAAAAAAACACTACTTTTCGAATGGTATAAGAAAAAACATCAAAAAGTGCTAGCTAAAAATTCGAAATTTGTCTGGGGAAAAACCACCCGAGCACAAGTTTTCCGTCATTTTCTTCGAAAGTCGTAACAAAACTTCGACTGTTTTGATTGTTTTTGAGAACCTCATAAAACCGAGTTTAAGCATTTTCTCATTTTGCTGTGCTCGATAGCTTTACTGCGGATCTAATCGGTACAGGCTTGTTTTTGGCTAGGCTTTACTCCGGTCGCAAACATTTGCTGCATTTGTGTGGTGTCGAGTGTGCAAAACTCATAGCCAATTGAGATCCAAGAGTTTTTTATCGCCTCTAACCAATCATAGCCCGTCGCCTGTTACGAATCATCGTCTCTTACGACTCGTCGTCTCTTACGACTCGTTGCCTCTTACAATCGTCGTCTCTTATACGAATCGTCGCCTCTTATGAATTGTCGCCTCTTACGAATTGTCGCCTCTTATGAATTGTCGCCTCGCGATAAGGAAAACAATGAGCTAAAATTAATGGTAAATTTACAGATTGGACTGGATTCGTTGGTTACATGTTAGGTGGCTCAAATCGTGAACTTGAACGGGAAAAGTCAGATTATGAAGACGAGTGTGTGGCCGAACCAGGTGTGGAGTGACAGCAGACTGGCCTGGAACCAGACTGGAGTGTTCCGAGACCCAGCACTCTCTTCCAGAGAGGTGAGTGTTCAGAGCATTGATGAACTTGCGGACCATGCGACAATCTCAACAAAACCCCCTCCAAATCAACTCTCCTAAAATGATCAGCAAACTCTCCTAAAATGAAAAAATAGCCCCGGGTATTATGTTATGCCAAAAAATAAAAAAGTATTAAAAATTTAAAAAACTGTTTTTTTTTCAGGCAGAAAATATTCAAAGATTAATGAAACGACACTTTAGTAAGCTTTCAATTGCCTTGGAGATCACCATCAGATCTAACGATCCAATTTCTGGTGTCTCTGAGAGTAAAAATGAGTTAACAATTTCTCTGCTTGAATGGAGAACAATACCTCATTACCAATTTCAACTAAATTTGGATTTAAATAGTTCGCTAAAAAATCGGGTGTATCAAAATAAAGCGGAAGATAGCAGAACAAAAACAAAAATTGGGAACATTAGGGAAGAAAAAAGATTTGGTTTCTTTTAAGTTCTTCGTTGTTTATGTTGCAGCTGTCTAAAAAAGTGTGGTTGAAGCCATTTTCTTCGAAATAAGTTGCAGTTGCTTTAACAATTATATGATTTGGATGGTAAATTATAAACTCAGTTCAGCATTTTTCCTGCTTTGAAAGAATCGTATCTGGAGATCTTATACGCAGCTATTGTCACCTGCGGTCTTGAATAGGTGGCTCCATTAACTGACTTTTTCTTTTATATTTGCAAAACTGTTTAGAGTTTCTTACCTGAGAATTGTTCACAACGTTTTCGATGCCTACCGCAAAAGTTTTTCATCAAATAATTTTTTTTGTACAGGATCATTCCTGGATCAGTTTTTATCAAACAACTTCAAATGCTCTGCGAAGTTAAATTTTTTGTCCAGGATCAGTCCGAGGTAAAGAAAAAATTTTTAAGCTTCAATTACATTCTCGTTGAATTCGATTTTCAAGTATTTTGTTAGGTTTCTGTTATGTTTCCGACCATTAAAAATGGGGAAGAAGTTTGTATTTGGGTGTGTTTCATTGTTTTTGTTCTCCGCGCAAAATCCGCTACCACAAATAATCATCCGACTGGGTTGAGTGATATATCATATTGATTCTAGTGATTCTAGTGTTGAGAAAAAGCAGTCTGAACGTTTGATTTTTCGTCAATTTTCCAGTCAGTGAGCAGGCCTCATAAGCTTATTAAGCTTAAATTAATCTTAAAATTTTAATTTTCTTCAAATTAGAATAGTTTTTGGAGTTTTTCTTGTTATTTGTCTGCAAATTTTATTTTCCAGGATTTTTTTTACAATCGCTGACGAAAATGATTGGGCTCTTTTTTTCTGCTCAGATACTTTTATCACACCAGGCCAAAAAAATCGTCAATTGTTTGAAGGGGTAATTTTGTTCTAATTTTTTAAGACTGGTCGGAACATTGTGCCCTGCTTGTTTCTTTTCTAAAACATATTGCCGTAATTTTATCGGCGTTTAAGATAAGCTTGCTATCATAAAGTCAGATTTCAGTTGATTGTATACAAAGTTTTCTTTTGACGTTTCCCAAATAACGCTTTTTCTCAGGGGTCTTACTTTTATAGAATCATCAGCAAATAAAACTGTAGCCGAGAAATATTCGAATATTTTGTTATTCCAGAACGTCTTTCTTCTTTATACAATGAAATACTCATAATATTTTCAATCAATTTAGAAAAACACTTCAGTCAGTCAAAACGTTTATCAACATTTTTGGTAAGCATGAGTACTACAGACCATTCAGTTTTTTAAGAATTAACTTTTTAGACTATCCAAAATGAAACTTATTTCAAACTTTGTCGATTTCAAGGCACTTAGGGCCTCCTGCTTGTTTGGTTGTTTGAGGTATATCGAAAAAAATATCGTGTCTTCTTTCGATCTCTCATTGCTGAAAGAGATAGAAAGATTTTTTTACGACTCATTAAACATGTTTAGTTCCCAATTGATAATTATGTAAAATTCTAATTTTTCGTTTTTTGGTTTTGTTCAGTATTTTCCTTTTGATATTTATCAACCTTTTTACATATTTGCACGGACTTTTGAGTTAATTTTATCTGTTTAAATGAGTTTTTTTTTGGCAACAATGCCTTACGTTTTGGACCAGAAAATTTTCAATTTTTTCAAAGTATTTTTTAAGGCTCTCAGGCTCTTTTCCAGTTCCCCCTTTCAATTTCAATTTTGAAAAGTGTATTTAACGTTGTCATAATGCAATGAAATTTGGCGTGGTGAACAAATTGACAATTCTGAACAAATTTATTTTTCATACTTTACAGCGCAACATCCCACATTTAGCCGTAATAACTCGTAAAACAAACACAAACTCGGTATTTTAATGGGGGGACTGGAAAAGAGCCGGCTCTGATTATCAGTGTTATCAAAACTGTCTTTTTATTCGTTACTTTTTTTGTTTCAACTTGATGTTTTTCAAGTTTCAGCAAATGATGCAATGTTTTTTGTCGTAATTTCCTCATTACTGCTGTAACTTATCACACTCGCTAATCTCATTGCAAAGTGATCAAAAATTGATATTTCAAAATTTCATATGTTGTTCATGTTGCAAAATGCAAATTATTATAAACAATTTAACCCATTACTGTCTTGCTTATTTCTATTTCCGAACTAAATGCCAGCAGCTCCGCATCCTTCGTTTCTGCAAAAAAAAAATTGCAAGATTTCAATCAATCAATAGAGAATATGTTACTATCTTGTCCTTATTTTGATAATATAAAAAATTGCAATCAAAAATCTTTGCCATGTTTTGCTTTTGACTTTTTCCATTTCAATTTCTTAATACCTTTAACAATTTTATGGGCTTCAACAATTTTCTCACTGCGCTTTTGAAGTATTATGAAAAACACCCAAAAAAATTATGAGTTTTAATCTATTTGTAAAACAGTTTCTTGAATTTAACAGCTAGTTGATCATGTGAGTGTTCACAAAAAAACTTAATCAATTTAATTGCCAAGCAACCCTTCGAATAGGAAAGTTTGAAGAACAAAGCTACTTTTGAAGAACAAATCTACTGAAAGTATCCTCGTATCGGTCTTAGCCGGTCGCGTAAACACAACCTGACTCGACACTGCCCTCGAACTAACAGACAGGACGCAATTTCTGTAGTGTAAAGATTAAGTTCTAAGTGAAATTCAGTTTTGGTCGGTCGCTGGTTGCGAACTCACTATCAATCTCAGCTGAGATAGGTATCAGTGTTTGCCCAGAGTTTTTCGTTTTGACTGCTAGCATTTTTGCTAAAAATTGTTTTTTTTTGCCTGCCCACTAGCCAGAATTTGTAAATTTACAACTTCTCTAACAACATGGTTATCACGTTGAATCACATTAGAGCTTTACTCACAACCCTGCTGTTTGCCTCCATCACTTCCACTGCACCAACTACTCAGTTTCGTAAGCGGTTTGTTATTTTGATGAAAAATTATAAAATCTCAAACAACGTGGCAAAAGTTTTTCTAATCAAAATTGTTTCAAATTTACTGCTCATGTGTCTGCTATGAATGAAGTGAAACTGAAGTTTTAAAATTTTGGATCTTTGAATGAACTCAAAAGGTTTTTTTCTGAGAGCAATGGCTTCAAAGGTGTTTTTTCTAAGAGCAACTTCTCTGAGAGTAAAAATGAGTTAACTTTTTCTCTACATGAATGGAGATCCATGTCTCAGTTGCAATTTCAATCAAATTTATAAAATGATTCTAACTGAATAATTTGGAAAAAACAACGATTGTATCAAAATAAAATTGAAGATAACAAAACAAGAACAGAAAACTGCGAACCATTGGGAAAAATAATGATTTGCTTTCTAGTAGGTTCTTCGTTATTTGTGTTGTAGTTTTTCAAAAAAGTGTAGTTGAAGTTATTTGCTTTGAAATAAATTGCAATTGCTTTACAAATTTGAATGGTAGTGTATAACACAGTTCAGCATTTTTCCTGCTTTTCAAGTAACTTTAGTTTTGTTCAGGATCAGTCCTGGATCAGTTTTTGTCAAATAACTTTACATGCTCTGTGGAGTTCAAGGTAAATTGTTTTTTAAAAACTTGAATTACAATTTCGTTCAAGTTGAGTTGCGAATATTCTATTAGATTTCTCTTGTTGGGGAGGAACTTTGTACTTGGGTGTGTTTTAGTTTTTTTTTTGTTTTCCAGGCGAAATCAGCTACAGCAAAAAAAAACTTTGGGCTAGGCTGAGTGATATTTTAGCCCTTTCAGCAGTGATTTGAAACAATTTAAAAAATTTAAAAAAAAATTCGCAGTTTTGAAAAAAAACCGGTTGGAAATGTTTGATTTTTTTTGTTCATTTTCGATCCAGTGAGCAAGCCTACATTAGCTTATTTGTACTTAATTTAACCTTAAAATTTTAGTTTATTAACTTAGATTAGTTTTGAAATTTTAAGCTTTTTCTTAGCAATCAAAAATTCAAAACTTTTGGGAAAAGATCTTAAAAATTACGAAAAAGTATTCTTTTTAAATTTTTTTTGTTTTACTTTTTATTTGTCTTCACAATTTTCCAATTTTTATCTTCTACAAGGGCTGACCAAAATATCTAAGCTCTATTTTTTTCAGCTCATTCCTCTATCACATCAGGCCAAAAAACGGCACTAATTTGAAAAAATAATTTCGTTCTAGTTTTCTAAGACTGGTCGGAACACTATGCCCTATTTGTTTTTTTAAAAAAATTTAAATTGCCGTTATTTTATCGGCGTTTAAGGTAAGCTTGTTGTTATAAAAATAGATTTCAGTTGATTGTATTCAAAGTTTTTTGTTTTGACGTTCTCCATTTAACGTTTTTTCTCAGTGATCTTTTTATTATAGCATCATCAGCAAGTAAAATTATATATCAAATTTTTAATTGAGTTGTTGTTTTGTTAATAAAGATTTGATTGTTAATTTGATTAAGAACTGAGCTCTGTGAGACGCCAAAAAAATTTATCTGAAATCAGATTGCGCGTGATTACTGACTAAAAACAGATTGCGCGTGAATACTGTTTGTTGTTACTGAGATAAGGTTTATTTATTTCCAGCATATGTACTTTCAGGCCATATGCATTACACTTCGAAGGCAAAATATAAAGATCTACTACTTCAAACGCCTTCTTTTAGTCTAAAAGAGATTACTGAATCATTACTAATTAACTGTGAAAATCATATTGTGCCTGAGCTTTCTTACAGTTTTTTAACAATGGGTAGTAGTGAATAGGACCAAAACTTCGTCGGACCAATACTTCGTTTGTCCTGAAACTCTTTCTTCCTTATACAATGAAACACTTTTTAATGTTTTCAATCAATTGAGAAAAACCTTTCAGTCCGTCAAAACGTTTCTGATCATTTTTGTTAAGAGTGAGTACTATATATCATTCAGTTTTTTAGGAATCAACTTTTTAGACTATCCAAATTGAAACTAATTTCAAACTTTGTCGATTTCAAGGCACTTAAGACATCCTGCTTGTTTGGTGGTTTGAGGTACTTTGAAAAAAACATATGTTGTCTATTTTTGACTTCTCATTGCTGAATTAGATAGAAAGATTTTTTTCTTCTGCTAAAAAGACTCATTAAGCATATTTAGTTCCCTATGGACACTTCGGTAATTTGGCTCTTTCTCCTTTTCCCCCCACCTGCAATTTTTTATAATTAAAACTAATGTTCAAATTCTCCGATTGTCATGAAAATTGGCATGCAGATAAATTAAGCTATGACAAACACATTTGGTCTTCATAATTAACCTTGTAAAATTACTCGTGAGACCATAAAATTGATGCTTGTGTGTGGGGGTCTTTTCGGGTCTTTCCCATTATATCCCCCTAGTAAAATATAGCCTCAAATTTCCCAGCCATGATTTGCACTTCGACATGTTGTCCAGTTCAATTTCTGAATACCCTTAATGTTTTTATCGGCCTTGACATTTTTCTCACTGCGCTTCTGGAGAATCATGAAAAAAAATAAAAACCCAAAAAAATGTGAGTTTTAATCTAATTCTAAAATTTTTTCTTGAAGTTATCAGCTAGTTCATTATATCAGAGTTCACAAAAAAAATTAATCAGTTTGATTGCCAAGCAATCCTTGATTTAGAAAAATTGGAAGATCAAAGCTATTTAGTGCTCTTCGAGTTTAATAAAAGTATCCTGGTTTCGGCCTTAGCCGGTCACTTAACCACACAAACTGACTCGACACTACTCTCGAACTCACAGAGAGGACTCAATTTCTGTTGTTTAATATTTAAGTTTTAAGTGAAATCCTGTTTTGGTCATTAGCGGGTTGCGAACTCACAATCAATCTCAAAACAGCTCGCGAACTGAAAACAGCCCGCGAAATCACAGGAAAAACTGTTGAGTTAAATATCGTTCAAAAACGTCTTTCACTGTTTCAGTAGTAGTTTTCAAAAAACAGAAAAAACAGTATGTTCAACAAGAAAACGATACATGCCCTGCAAAACAAATTTTTCAGAAAACACTTAGTTTTTTTCCGATTGATTGCGCAATCAAGTTTACTACCTGCTTTTTTCATTCAAAACAAATGGTCAGTTTTAAGTTAGGTTATGATTCAACAGTTCAATCTCCTTACCACCCTTCACGTTCAGTTTCAGCGTTAATTTCTCATTAGCATCCAGGTCCCGAGACCTAGCACAAACTTTTAATGCAGCACTTTTCCGATTAAATGTTTGACCCTCGAGGGAAACCAGTCCATCCTTGAAACGCACGCGAACAAATGCCCCATATTTTTTGACTAGTACACATACACAATTCAAGTGTTTGTAGAAATGATCATGTCGGTGCTGTAAGCAGTCGACCTAATTTTTGCTTCGCACTTAGGAAGCCTCTCCGAAACATAGAGTAACTGTTGTTAGGTAAATGTGATTTTCCTCTCAGTTTGATTTTGCACTCATTTCCATCCATGTCGTCAAAACGAATGACATTGCAAAATTGGTAAGTAAACATTCTTTATCATCGCCAGCAAAAACAAGACACGCTTTAATCCGATCACAAATGAAATTGATGTCCAAGTATTTTTTGAAAAATATAGGGGATTCGATGTTACATCATGAGAATATCTTGCATTGAACGCTGAGTCAGGCATCAGTGTTTGCCCAAATATCATTCTTGAGCCCGAAGTATTCCGTTTTGACTGTTTTGATGCTCCTATTTTGATAATATAGAAATTCACAATCAAATTTCCCATCCATGATTTGCACTTCGACATTTTTCTCACTGCGCTTCTGGAGAATCATGAAAAAAATAAAAACCCAAAAAAATGTGAGTTTTAATCTAATCCTAAACATTTTTTGAAGTTATCAGCTAGTTCATTATATGAGTGTTCACAAAAAAATTAATCAGTTTGATTGCCAAGGAATCCTTGAAATAGAAAAATTGGAAGATCAGAGCTATTTAGTGCTCTTCGAGTTTAATAAAAGTATCCTCGTTTCGGCCTTAGCCGGTCACTTAACCACAACCTGACTCCTTGACCACAACCTGTCCATCCTTGAAACGCACGCGAACAAATGCCCCATATTTTTTGACTAGTACACATACACAATTCAAGTGTTTGTAGAAATGATCATGTCGGTGCTGTAAGTAGTCGACCTAATTTTTGCTTCGCACTTAGGAAGCCTCTCCGAAACATAGAGTAACTGTTGTTAGGTAAATGTGATTTTCCTCTCAGTTTGATTTTGCACTCATTTTCATCCATGTCGTCAAAACAAATGACATTGCAAAATTGGTAAGTAAACATTCTTTATCATCGCCAGCAAAAACAAGACACGCTTTAATCCGATCACAAATGAAATTGATGTCCAAGTATTTTTTGAAAAATATAGGGTTTTCGATGTTACATCATGAGAATATCTTGCATTGAACGCTGAGTCAGGCATCAGTTTTTGCCCGAATATCATTCTTGAGCCCGAAGTATTGCGTTTTGACTGTTTTGATTTTCGTCAAAAATTCATCTTTTACCTGCTCACTAGCCAAAATTGGTAGCTTTATAAATTCTTTAGCAACATGATTCTCATGATCAATCAATCACATGTTTGCCTCCATCACTTCCACTAGACCAACTGCCTCCGTTTTGTAAGTCGTTTTTCTCTTTGATTTGAAAACAAAAAATCGCAAACAATTTAGACGAAAGTTTTTAAAAGCAAAATTATTTTAAACTTACTATTCAGGAGTTTGCTATGAAAGAGGGGCGGATTTAGGGGGCGGGGGGGGGGGTTTGGCGAACGCTTTTTCTCTTAGGGATTCGACCCCCTGCCGACCCAAAGGGTCCCCTCTTTGTACTATTTTGAGATATTCATTTTTGGCTGACTGACCTTAAAGTTTTTTAAAGGCGCATTTGTCGCCAATAGATACTAATTTTGAGGGGGGAGCGCGCGCCGAAAAAACGCGATTTTTTAGTCAACATTTTCCAAAAAAGCCTAAAACGTCTTTTTGACCTGTTTTTTCAAAACATTGCCTGCGGCACAGACAATCTGGCCAAAACAGGGTCTTTTTGGTGCTTTGGCAGAGCTCGGAAAATCAATTTGGTCGACCTAAAAAAAGGTCGACAAAATTTTCGATTTTTTTTTTGAAAAGGTCGACTAGTTTTCATTCCGAACGCATCAAGGTCGACCGACTGATTTCTAAACGAACAATATGAATACCATGTCAACATTATTGGCAATTTTTCTTGTGAGTACCCACAGAACCGCTTTCTCGGATAGCCGAAAAGTTGCTTCGATCACATAAAGCCGAAAATTAATCAAATAATGACATGACACGGACAATGATTGCCCCCGTAACTAGTTTTTTGCAACCGAATTCTCATTGCCCCGAAATTATTGATCAGGCACACCCAACATGTTTCACTAGTATTTTGGCTTCCGGGAACAATTTTTTGGCCAATCTGGAATGCGGCTCCGTGCCAAACCACTTATTCTCAAGTCAACGAACTTGAATGAAGTTAATGAAACAACAACTGCTGATTTTGAGGCCTGAAACCAATTTTTCATTAATTTGAGCACGTAAACATTTGAGCACAATTTTACCGATAATTTGGTATTAACTATCATTTTTACCAACAACAGAATCGAAAACAGAGAGCAACTATTCGATTGACATCAAAAATTTGCCCTTTATGACTTTTTAGGCGACCTGAGACGTAAAATGCTGAAAACTTAGCTGTTACATGTAAAAATTAGGTCGTTTGCTCTTTTTCTTTATTTTTGTCTGTTCCAACTTTTTGCAATTTCTTATAAAGCACAGTGTATTTGTATGTAGGTGCGGGTTCCTGCTTCGGATGTGTGGCATGGGGACATTGTGCTGCTGAACAACATAGACGGGCAGTATGAGCCGACCTATCCGGTGAAGATGCTGGTAGATAAGGAGGGACGGGTGGCCTGGATGCCCCCCTCCATCTACAACTCCTGGTGCGAAATGGATGCCAGACACTTCCCATTCGACAGCCAGGTTTTTAATAATGATTAATTACGCATATTTTGTAACCTTTAACTCCCCCCCCCCCTCGAACCTAGTAAGGAACTTCCACCCCTATAAGGAACTATAATTCAACGGTTCAGCATAAGAAAGTTTTATGCCAAAATTTTGTTTTTGTTTCCGCTTTCTGCCGACCAATGAGAAGTGTCAGCAGAAGAAGTAACCCAAAAAAAGTGCACGACCGTTGCGACTAACAAAAATTAACCAAGATCGCTCGTTGGACGAAAATTTGAAAATAGTCAGCGCATTGTAATTCTCGCACCATGTCACACTTTTAATTTCAAACTTTAAAAGTATAAACAAAGCTGCCCTAAATTGTTGAAAATATAGTTTATGACAAAAAGAAACACTAAATTCTAAAAAAACATGCACATACTTTTGTTTAAAAACTGATAAATTCTCAGTACACTAACACATTATTTGGATCAATTTTCTTGCCTCAGGTCATGTTATTACTTTAATTAGATGGAATAAGTCGCCATTTTCAATATGCGGTAACTCCAATAATGAAATTTCAAAACAAACAAGACGGCTCGTATCAGGGCGAAGCCCTGATTGTTCCGACTGCTTTTTAAGTTTTATGGAGCAGTAATAACATAAAAAAATTAAATGTAATAAAAAAAGAAGTTTTTTTTTCTAAAATTTGATTTTTTTTAAATCATCCCCCCCACACGTCATAATAAGTACTAAGTGATAAATTTTGCTCCTATTAACAAATCAATCATGACATATAAGCTTCCCCGTGTCAGGACATTTGTGTCCCAGACATTCATGTCCCGGTAAAAACAGTCCAAAATGCAAAAAGGTCCTTCTGAGTTTCCTAAAAGGGTGCAGCAGCAACATCAAAGTATAATTTAAAGTCAATTTATTTTCCAAAGTTGATATTGCGAAGCAATAATTTTCAATAAATTTTTCTAAGTTGAACTTTTTTCCAGAAAATTTCAAAATTGAGCTATACCCGATTTGAAAACGGCAAAAAGATCAATGTAATCAAGCTTTTCCCATGCTCTTCCCTTTTGGCTTAATCAAGTCAACCCATTTCAATTTTGCCCTATTTTACCCATTTTTGGGTTTTTTAATTTCAAATATTGACTAAATTACGACAGTTTTTTGTCGAGCCCGAGATTTGAACTTCAAACCTTTTGACCTTAAGACTTATGACTTCATCACTCGGCCAAATGCGCTTTTAAATTTCACAATTTTTTTGAAAGTTTTGTCTCACTTTGACTGTTCTTTGGTTAATTGGTACGCATAAAATCTACTTAAAGAACGATCAAACAACCTCAAAAGAACAAAGCATTAAAGATCACAAGGTCAAATCAAAGAAATTAATTTCGCAAAACAATTTCGGACAATTTTGTCTGGGACATAAATGTCTGGTACAATTTTATCATTTCGGACTGTTTTGTCAAGGACACAAATGTCTTGGACACAAATATCTATGCACCAAGTTTCCCTGAACCAATTTGGAACGATTTCTAAGACGGATTAAATCTCGTTTATGCGTTAATAGCTCGAAATATATCGCGCGTTAATTGTCCCAAATTGGCCAAAATGGCAATCTTTAAACCCCCATAACTTTACGAAAAATGATCACAGGTGAAATATCTTTTCAAATTTAAGCTCAGGACAACAATACCTTTCGAATGATATAAAAAACTTCCGTCAAAAATTTCTAGTTAAAAAGTCGAAATTTGTCTGAAGAAAAAAAACCCACACCGAGCACAAAGATTCCGTTACTATCGTATCGAAAGTCGGAACAACAAGACTGCTCGTATATCAGGTCAAAGCCCTGAATGTTCTGACTGTCCTTTAATCCATATTGAATAGTTTGGGGGAAAATATCGAAAAACTATAATTTTTAGACAATATCAAATATCAAATTTGAGTCGTATAAAATTAATACGACCAATTAATTAACCTCAATTCAATTTGGAACGGTTTTTTGTGAGGGTTAATTCTCCACCCTTAACTAACTCACGTTACGTTTTCAGTATTATGAATAAAATCTTCAAAACGCGCATAATTTATTCCAGAGCACGGCCAAATTGACCATTTTCAAACTCTCAGAACTCTACAAAAAATTATTGGAGGAAAAACATTTTTTTTACATTTGAATTCAAGAAGTCGATACCTTTAATGGGGTATAAAAACTATTATTTCGATCGGCGAAAATTGACTGAATAAAAAACCACACCAAGCTAAATATTCCTTTTTCATCGAAAGTCGAACAATTATTTAAAGCTGGTCGATTGGCAATCTTCCAACCCCCATTACTAGACAAAAATGTCACACAGGTGAAACATCAGTTTTTAGTTGTCGATTTTTTTCAACAATCGAAGAATATGAAAGATCCTTTATGCTTGAGGTACTTTTTTATTTAGACCTTTAACAAACTTCAAAGGTTTTCTAAACAATTTTTTTATAGTCCAACAGATTTGTCACCTGTGAACTTTTTTTGTGAGGTTCTGGAGTTTGAAAAATGGCAATTTGGTTAACACAAGGGGTAATAAATTCGTGAAAAGTACATTTTTTAGTGCATAGCAAATGCGTGAAAAAATACTGTTTTCGAAAGCTTTATCAAAACAATTAATTTAGGCAGGCAAATTGATCTAAATATCAGCAGATGCTGAATTTATCTCCTTTTGACTTTAATTGGTTGTGAAAGGATGAGTTTTTTTACCACCTAGTCAGCAATGAATTTAAGAGGGGGGACGCCCCCTTCCACCTCAGGGAATCGGCAGCCCTGATTAACTTCAAGGGTCCCCCTTTTGGCACATTGCTTATGACCTCTATTTTTGGCCAACTGAACTTCTAAACGCGCCTCCGGCGCCAATAATACAAGTTTGAATACGCAATTTTTTGGTCAAAATTTTCCAAATTGTGACCACAAAATTCCTTTTAGGCCCTCTTTTTTTCAAAAGTTTAAGTCAAAACTTTGGTCAAAACAGGGTCCTTTTAACTTTTTTGGAGAGCTCGGAATATCAATTTGGTCGATGGCCAGAAAGTTGTAGCTTCTTTTACTTTTGTGAAAAAAATACTATCTTAGAACTTTAAGATTGAGATTCAAAAAAAAAATTAAAAAAACCGTATCCGTGAAGAAATTTTTTTTTCGTTTTTCGGACTAAATTAGCCAAAAATTGATGAGCTTGCAAATTTAGTTCTGCTACAACTTTAGGCCTTTTAAAATTTATTTGCCGCTTTTTTGTGCAATTTCAACAAACTTATTTGCTTTTTCGGGAAAATACTAAAAAATCTTTTTTTTTTTAAGATCATTTATCCACGAGTGATAGGACCAACATACGAGCTGAACAGCTCATCACGGCGAACCGCTGTTGTGCCCATGGTTAAGAACTACATGCAATTTTTTTTGCTTATTTTTCTGGGCTGGGTAATGTTGCTTCACCCTCAAGCAACGAGCACGGATCATGGTGGGCCTCGAACATCCGACCTTTCGATTGAGAGGCGGAGACGTAACCACTTCACCACTGCTCCCCTTTCTTTCAACCGGCTGTCTTTGTGAGCAAGTAACACAGATTTTTTCGAGGAAATTTCTAAATATGCATATCGTTTCAGCAGTGTGAGTTAGTGTTCGGCAGCTTCACATACGACTCTACTAAAGTGGTGGTGACATGTGCACTTGAGTCGGCCAGCTACGACAACCCGAACTCATTCTACGAGTCGTCCGAATGGAAAATAAACCGAAGCTAGTGGCCATACATTACAATAGCCATTGCTATATCTTAAAGACAAATAGGAGCTCTTCAACTTTTAGCTAGAGTTGGAGATCAGCCCACCCCATAATTCTAACAAAAAAAAGATAGTATCTCCAGTAATAAAAAGGGGATAATTCGTTACTACAAAAAAGCAATATTCGCATGCTCTCATTATTAAAGAGAGTAAAAGTGTTTTTATAGCGTACCTTAGAGATTTTTTTTTCAACTTTTTTTTCAATTTTTTGTAGGGGAATTGAAATATTCAAACAAATTAAAGCTTAGAGGGTCAAAACTGTTGTTGTAAATAGTCAACCTTTAAAAGGACTCGGTTCAGACCTAAATTATTTTGCATTGAAGGAAGCGATTAAGTAGCAATAACGAAAGCATTTCATGCCGTAAAAACTTTTTAAAGCAAAGTTTCCAAATGCCAGCGAAAATTTTGTTATTTTCATAGTTTAAAATTTTTCTAGATCAAATCTGCAAAATTGCAAAAATAATTTAAAAGTTAAACAAAATAGAGATGAAAAAATAAAAAAGTTTGAAACAATAAATTCGAAAGAAACTTTAACGTCTTGTGCAGCCAAAGTCTGAAAATACAAAATTCGAAGTAGTTCCAATGGGCAAATTAAGAATAAGCTCAACAAAGTGGCCGTATCAGGATGAAGATATGAATCTTCTGTCCATCCAAATTAAAATGCTTCATTAAATTTTGGTGATAAGAAAAAGTTGATAAAGAACGGTTTTTTTAATGTAAGAAAAAATATATCACTATTTGGCAATCTGTTTTTAATGCGCCTCCACAGGCCATGTTTGCTACTGAGAGTATTAATTTGGCCGTCATAACAATTGAACCACAAAGAGTTTCAAATCCAATTTCATCTGCTTCATGGGCTCGACCATTTAGCGACTTAGGCATTACAAATTTCAGCAAAAAAGAAAAAAATGTGCGCATAAAAAATTACCTTAGGGCCAAACTTGCAAATTGAACACTCGGTAAATTAAAATCGATGAATACCAAAAAAAAATTTTCTTTTAAGATTACAGGACAAAAACCACAGGCGACCAAAAAATTTTTGTTGCTGTAAAACATTATGAGTACAATCTGTACAAATTTGAGAATTGTAAGTAGATTGCGAAACAAAATGAAAACAGATTTGTCGAGGAATCCAAATGTGGCTTTTCTGTTTTCTTCTTTGCTATTTTGGATTCCACCTACAAATAGCCGCTACACTAAAATTACTCAAAATCGCTCCAAAAGCAGCCAAATGCGGAACGAATATTGCTATTTCGAAAACAGTTTCCGTAATCGATTGCTTTGGTCGCATTAAACATTACCATTTTACTGAGTCCGCTTAAATTATGTGCCCATAAATTTAAAAGGTATCGGTGCGCGGAATCCACAGAATTTGTGAAAGATGATCCACTGATTTCTTGAAATACACTCAAAACACAGTGTGCCTATCTAGTGTACAGTTTGTACCGTAAAAAATGAACAGTAGCTATAAGCTAGTAAGTCACTGGACACTACATTTTGCAGTCGTTTACGATCAGCAAAGAGTCATTTTGAGAACCAGTTTTAAATTTTGAAGACAGTTTTGATTACAAAATTAGCAATTGCTTGATCATTTCAACTTACAGGGTTTTCTGATACACAAAATTTTATTGCGTTTTTGTATCTCATAAAGAAAAGTTTTTATAACCTGCTAGATTTCCGATTGAATGATTTTATTCGATTTGAATGATAAAATTGATTGAATGATTTTATTCGATTTGAATGATAAAATCGATTGAATGATTTTATTCGATTTGGTTTTACAAAAAAAACATGAAATAAAATTATTTCTCGCGGTTGGACATTTGCTATTCCAAACTCCCCTCAATTTTTTTTGTTAAAAAGAAGTCAAATTGCGATTTCCGTTAAAAAGTTAAAACAGTAGGAGGCCAAACTGTGCACTGGATAGGCGCACATTTTTGTATCTGCATGCTCCTGGATTCCATTGACAAATCTTTAAAGATGTTAAAATTTAATTTTGTCGGAACGATTAAAGAAAATGAAAGAATAAAAAAGGAGCGAAAAATTCACAAAGTGCACAGTATGTCCTCGTAATGAAAGTAAAAAAAACAATTTTCAGCCGTCAAAAGTCTCAGCCCTTGATAATGGCCTTTTCATAGCCAAAGCCAAAAAGTCGCAGCTTCAACTTAACTTTGTTTCTCTAATAGAATGATTAATAGATCAGTTTCACTTAATCGTCATGAAATTCAACAAAAGGGCTTTTCATACACCTCATAAAAATTAAACTGCGAGGTATTGTGAATTTTTGGCATTTCAGGTTGAATTTTAAGTAAGAATTTTAACTATATTATAACATTTTCTGGTACTCGTAACAGCTAAGATGCTGAAATAAAAATATATCGCGACATAAAACTTGTTATTGAAAAATGCTAAGTCAACCATGCGAAAAGTATTTGCTCCTTTAGATACCCTAAAAAGTGCGGGGTTGGTAAATTGGAGGTTGATTGAACTTTCAACAGTATTGTTTTTCCGAGCGATAAGTGGGATTGAACTTTGTACTCAGTTGTGTGTTATTATTAATTTTAGTTCTTTCGGCACAAAATGACAAAAATTTGAAAAAAGAAAAACCTTGCATATAAACAAATGTGACTGGAACTTTCTGCGCTACGTGCACAGCATTCAGAAATTCTTGTTGTTCCGACTTTCATAATGAAAGTAACGGAATATTCGTGCTCGGGGTGAGTTTTTTCTCTTCAGACAAATTTCGACTTCTTAACTAGCCATTTTTGAAGGAGTTTTTTAATGTATCATTCGAATATTTATATTTTGTTGTCCTGAGCTTGAATTTGAAAAGATATTTTACCTGAGATCATTTTTTGTAAAGTTATGGGGGTTTAAAGATTGCCATTTTAGCCAACTTGGGACAATTAACGTGCGATATATTTTGCGCTATTAACACGTAAGCGAGATTTAATAGGTGTTAGAAATTGTTCCAAATTGGTTCAAGGAAGCTTATATGCCATAATTGATTTGTTGATGGTTGCAAAATTTTTTACTTTGCCTTTAATTTGACGTGTGGGGGGATGTTTTTACAGAAAATCTCAAGTTTGTTTGTAAAAATTTAAATATCATTTTATTACTTCTACATTTTTCATGTTATTACTGCTCCGTAGACCTTAAAAGGCAGTCGGAACTTTCAGCGCTTCGCCCTGATACGAGCAGTTTTGTTTCTTTTGTTTTTCTTGAATATGTTATAAAATTGTGGCTGGAACACATTGAAACATTCCAGCTGACGGAATTTGTTGTATGTTTTTAATTATTGCCAATTTTAAACATGGTTTTATATATTTAACTGTGAATTTGTATTTTAATGAATGGCCAGAATAGTTCCCTGTCGAGAGTCGTCGGCTCCGATTATGGGCACGGACTTGAACACTTCTCTCGTCATTTTCACTTTTCACGTCACTCGCAAACCACTCTTCTACCAGTGCTGGCTCATAGGTACAAGTACGATAGATGCCCCCCATCAATTTAACTACCCGCTCTTAATAAAAGTAAAAAAATAGATTAAACTGGATTTTCGTGGTCTAAAATGTTGTGAATATAAATGATTCTCATGTCGCTTTTAAGCAAGAAAAATAGGTTTCAAGTGGATTTTAATTTTTTAAGTACTTTGAAAAAAACTAGAAAAAACATAATTGTTTGAGATTTTTCCCACGGAAATTGTGTTTTACCCACGGAAATTGTGTGATTAATCGCGGCACCATGTGAAACATAAAGTGAAAATTAGCGTAAAAAATAAGAAAAGTTTTAACAAATTAAATTCAACCAGTTAATTTAGCGTCTGATTTGAAATAAACCAAGAAACAGAGACTCATAATAACTATTACAGATTTATTTGCTTTGATAAGTGCTTTTATATAAGCAAACTTGAATATATTAAGCTTAGATCAGGGGCGAATTTAGGGGGAGCAGACGCCTTCCCCGCTCAGGGATTCGACCCCTGCCGATCTTTTTAAGAAATCCATTTTTGGCCGACTGACTCTAAAATTTTTCCAAAGGCGCCTTCGGCGCCAATATATACTATTTTTGAGTGGGAGCGCGCGCCAAAAAACGCGATTTTTTAGTCATTATTTTCAAAAAATTGCCCAAAAACGTTTTTTAGCTGTTTTTCAAAATCTTATCTGCGGTGCACAAAATTTGACCAAACCATAACCTTTTTAATGTTTGAGGAGAGCCCAGAAAGACAATTTGGACGACCTAAAAAAAGGTCAAAATTTTCGAAAATTTTCGGGTTTGTGGCTTCCTCCTATTTTCGGATATTTTCTGGCGCAGTGGTATCTATTTGATTACAGTACACTCATTATCCATTAAGTCTTCGAGTGTCTCCGTGTCTTTTTCCCTTTTTGTTGGCTTAATTTTTAGCTTAATCTTTTTGCGGGAGTAAATGTAAGCTTTCATACTTTGTTTTTGTGCAAGGGTTGCTGTCCAAAATTTAAATGATTGAGATGTCGATGTAGTCGTTGAGGTTTTGTAGCCAATCTAAATGATCGTACTTTTGATGACCGACGACGTTCTAAAAGTGTTGTGCCCGGGGTACGTTTTGAGTCAATTTTTAAGCGGCTGGTTTCTGGGATGAAAGCATTTTCTGTTGAGTCCGAAGACGGGGAAACTGACGTGTCATGTTTAAACTGTATTTTTGACGGTTTTTCGTTTTCTCAATTTCTGCGGGCTGCCTTCAAGTGTTGGTTTAGTATATCTTTTTTGTTATCTTGCACCAACTTTTTGCTTTTGTTTGGCGATCCGGGTTTTTTTGCCTCTGTCAAACAAATTTGAAGAGCTGACCTCTTGGAATATATGACCTCTTGTATGTTTTCGGGGGGTTGCCGTTTGGGGCCTGTGGTTGTTGATTGTTATGGCTGCCCGTGAATTTTTGCGATTTTGTTGGTTGACTCATCGTTAGTTGTGGCTTGAGCTTCGCTGGCACCTTTCTTTTTTTTGGTACCGAAATACGCTGATTAACTTGATGTAATTGATTATATTAGACAAAGTCTTTTATTGCGGCAGATCTCTATCTTACTTAAGATCGAAGATCTCGACGAAGGCTAGCCCGTCATGTCTGATAACCTTTACGTTGTTGTCCGTCCGGATCAATTGAGCAATCTCCCCCCCCCCCCCCCGTAATGACCAATTGAGCTATCTACCCCCCCAGCAAAAACGAATAAACTCTACAAAAAGACGTCAGCAAACGCAAGTAGATGGATGATGTGTTTATAGCACGCAATCAATTGACCGAATGAAGTTTTTCTTACATGAGTATCGAGAAAAATTTTGAAAAAAATAAAATCGAAATTTATGAAAAAAAAAATGTTTTTTTTTTGCAAAACTTTGTTTAGGCGACCATAGCCTCATCGAAGAAAGCAATTTACCAGGGTTGGTGCTCTAGCCTTGTATCTGAATAGCAAAAACGGTTCTCCGTAGCACCCTAATATTGTTCGCAAAATTTTTTTGTCAATTTAAGAAAGAAAAAAGTCGCTTTTTATGCCTGTTTTTTTTATTCTTTTTTTGAATCTAAATGAAACTTTAGAGCTTTTTCATCGTAAATTTCGGCTTTCCACATTCATTGGAAAATATTTTTTATGATTTCATGTCATTCAAACTATTTTCAAGTGGTTATAAACATGTCTCAAGTACCTATTGAGCTATCTCCCCCCCCCCCCCCCCCCCACGCGAGAATGGGGGGGGGGGGGGGGGGGAGATTGCTCAATTGATCCGTCCGTCCTCCTGTAGCAGAGCCGTAAGTGTTGAGTAATTTAAATATGGACCCGTTTCTCGATGAAGTTAATTTGTGTCCCAAAAGCCACTGGATTTCTCGCTTTTCTAGCTACGTTCCCAGTTTTTCTAACTACTTCTTCACATTTTTGTCCCAGTTTTGGGTCTATTGTATGATGTGGACCATTATACCGGTCTTTAAGAAAATCTAGAGGTAATCCAGGTTGTGTTTTCTTGGATTGGTAATAGGCGCATCGGCTTTTTTGTTCTTCAGTTGGTGATGTCATTTTTTTAATTTTTGTTCAAGAAACAGCGTTTTGCCCTTATAATATCATAAGGTATATTTTTTGAAGATAGATGCACACTTATGGATTTTTTCCTGTCGAAGTCATCATCGGTACATTGCGGATGTTCAGGTTCTTTGGTCGCTGCCTTACTTTGTCTTCCCTGGTCTTTTCTGTGCTCTGCTGGTGCTTTTATTTTGTTTCCAGAATTGTGTTTCGCCTGTGTACAAAATTCTCATGTTGAGACTGAAAACCGACAAAACCAGCGCTGCCAGCCCGAGTCATGTTGAACTGGGAAGCTAGTAGTGAGGATCAAATCCAAATCGTGTACAAAGAACAGACATCTCAGTTACAAGAACCAATTTACAGCTCTCAATTTTGTAATTTTGGCTTTGAATTGAATGAGATTTTAACCTGTTGAGAGTTGGCCATTGACTGATAGCAGTGAAAGCTTTTTGCGTTGCCATTTGAGCTAAAAGTTTGATGATCCGGTTCTTCTTGTGCGAGCCTGGAAATCCGTTTTGATTTGAGTTCATTTCAAGGTTTGCCATTGTGCTATCTTAAAACTCAGGGCATACTATGATTTCTTCTTTTACCGCACTGAAGAAATCAAAAAGATTGTCCCAAGAAGCACGGAGCTAAATTTTGTCCTTCGAATGCTGTGAAATGTAGTCAATTAGACCCATTTTCTTACTCGATGTATGTTTAAAATCAAAATCAGACGACAAAAGGCAGTTTGTATATCCAGTTAATCAGTTTATTTTTTCGTTTGCTTTTTGCTCTGTAGGGCACCAAGTAATACTTGGTTATCGGTGATCAGCATAAGTCTGCTGCAATATAGGTAAACTATAAATTATTCTATCGCCAATACTGCGGCAGAGAATTCTTGCTTGTTTGTCTTTGATTTATTTTCATATTTATTTGGGAAACGTGATGCGTATGCGAGTGTGCTTATACACCACCCAGTGTATTGTACACCACCCATGTTTCATGGCCGTTTTTGAGGTGGCGGTTTTTGGTTATATTATGCAACGGGTCAAGCATAATTTCGAAAATTTTGTCAATGGTTGTGCATGCAAGATGAAACATATTAGCATCCGAGCGGCGAGCGTAACGTTTTTATAATTCAGCGAGATTTGATAAAAACATAATCAAGTAGTGAATGGAGCTCATAACACCTAATTTTGCATGAAAGTTATAGGATGGATCAATTTAAAAAAAAAATTCGAGTATTTTGGGCATCGGAGTTGTGCCGTACTCATTCAATAGAAAGCTAAGCCTTTCAACTTTCTGAACTTTTTTTCACCGTAACTATGCCGTTTTCATCTATAACGAAGCCAATCCATTCAAGGTTTTTGTTTCCAAATTCACATTTGTCAACAAGGTTAGCCATTTTTTGCTGATTAATTTATTTAACGCCTTATTTATTTTTCTGTGCGTTTTTTTGCCTTTGTCGTTAGGATCTTCCCTTTTGGGGTAAAAACTCGTCCTGGACCACCTCGTTAACTGTTTCTGTTGTTGTTGTCTCGTGTTTTGTTATACGTGACTGGCTCTGACTTAACCTTAACATGTGTCTAATGATTTGACACTTCTGGCACACCTTATTTTCTAATCTGCATTTGGTTTTCAATCTCATAGTCGAACGCTTGTTCTGGATTTTTTGTTTTGTGCAACAAATCCTTCTGGAGCTCGTTGTTTGACTTGTTTGCTGTGAACAGATCACTGATGCTTTTGCCTTCTGGGCTACCATTCTGACAGGCAGTGCACTTGAAGTTCCCTTTAGAGCAGTTTCATTGCGGACTAAGAAAGCTGGTGATTACCTTTACCTATAATCGGAAACCGAAGGACAAAGACGCCTTGACCGAAAATACCCAAAACTGAGAATGCAGGAAACCACAACCAGACAATCAAGAGTTAACCTTATAACTTTCTTCGTCAAGCCAAATAATATAACTTTCGATAGATACGATCCTTTCACAAGAAAGCGGAACAGAATTCCGACTCTAGAGCAGTTTCATTGCGGACTAAGAAAGCTGGTGATTAGATTCGGAAATCTGTTCCGCTTTCTTGCGAAAGCATCGTATCTATCGAAAGTCATATTATTTGGCTTGACGAAGAAAGTTATAGGTTAACTCTTGATTGTCTGGTTGTGGTTTCCTGCATTCTCAGATTTGGGTATTTTTGGTCAAGGCGTCTTTGTCCTTCGGTTTCCGATTATAGATAAAGGTAAGGGTATAATTTTATGTAGGCCTCGTCCAATGGTATACCATCGACTGTTGGGCATAACTTTTGAAAATAGGTGCATTGGTTTTCCCTTGGGCCCTTTTTTCCGGTTCCGTAAGCCTGATTTGTTTTCCTTTTTCCGGAAGCCTGAGTCTCTGATTTGTGCTGGTGATGGATTGTGTTGCAATGTTTGGAGATTGGTACCGTCTTTTGGAATATTTTCTAGAAATAGTTGCTGGTCCACGTTTTTAATTTGGTTGGATGTTCAGCCGATGCCTTTGGCCAAAATGACGCGACGCCCAATGAATATTTTGTTCCTGCTGGGCTTTGTAATATCCACGGAAACTGTGTGATTATTCATGAGACATAAACTAAAGATTCGAGTACGTATACATAATCAGACTTCCAAATAATATTTTATATAATTGCAAAGCGATTAAATAGAATCATATGGTGATCTTAAGTATGGTTTGATATTTTAGTTTTTTTTATCATTCTAATGGATATCCTTTATATGTACGGATAACAATCAGTAACGGAGTTTTTTTTGGGTGCGGTTTTTACGCTTTTTCCCGCTCATTTTCAAAGGGTTGGTCTACCTATGAGAATGTTTTAAGACATTTACTTGTGGCCGACCGACTCTGAAATGTTTCTAGCGGCGCTTTTGGCTTCAATGTGCTAATTTTGTGGGAAAGGGGGGTCAAAAACGCGTTTTTAAAAAAATCAAAACTGAATTATGATAAATTTGACCGGTTTTTAATAATGGCCTGCTTTTAATAATTTGCCTGCGGAGAAAGTTTTCTCTTCACACTAAAAAAAGTCGTCAGATTGAAAATCCTAGATCCGCCCCTGGTCAAAACAAATGGATGTCGTAAAATAGTGCCATAGGGCCCGAGTTATGTGGAAGCAACCCCTGAAAATTTGCTTCACGCTCAGTTTTGACCAATAGCCAGCTTCTGATTGGTTGCTAAGCTGTTTTTAAATGTAAAATTTACGAAGATTTTGATTTAAATTTTCTACTAGTTTTAATAGAATTCGAAAATTCTTACGTTAGTATTATCATGGGGATCTATATTTATCGTACTTGTACCTGTTAATAGTGCCAACTTTAATAATTATTTTACTGGTTCCACTCGTGTTCTATTTACCCGTCCAGGCGGGTGAAAAACTGGGTTTGAGTATCTCTTTAACCCTCACATGTACTCTACCTCTCATGCTGTGTTCCAAATACATGAGTAACGGGGGCGATACAGTGCCTATGATTCTACAGGTGATGTATCATAGATTATACATGTCATACAGTATAATCCCATTACTACATTGGATCTTTTTACTATCTCCCCAACCTATAGTACATTGCTTCGAATCCCAGACAATTCTTCCAGACAAAATCATTAAATAGAACCCCCTTTACTAATAAAGTTTTTTAATTTAATTTCGCTGTTTAAATCAGAGTTCCACCGCGCAGCGCAAACTCAAAAAAAAACACCATATCTACAAAACGCCACATCTTGAAGGCAAAATTACATCAGCGTTAAGAATTGCATAAAAACCGTGATTATTTGTGGCTATTTTGGTTATAAATATTAGTTTTCGGCTTGTTGGCGCACCACTTGTATGTATGACAGGTATACATAATGCTACATCACCTATACTTATTCTTCAGTACATCATGTCGGGTATGGTTCTAAGCAGTTTTTCAGTTATGAGCTCAGTTATTGTGGTTAATATTCATTACCGATCAGCCGACACGACCGAAATGTCCAACTGGATCAAATTCGTATTTGTCAAAACTTTGCCCAAATACTTATACATGGAGCGCCCTGCGACCAAAAACGACCGGAAAAAGAAAAAACTGCAGAAGTTTCTGGACAAACTCAGCATGCAAAACGGAACTACAGAGTTTGACTCAGACGGGGTTCCAATTTCTCGGAAATTTAATCCAGGGTTCATCACCCAATCGACTGACATGTCAAGACATGCAACGACTGAAATCAACGACAGTCCAATTATGGGCACTAAAGCATCAATGACGTCATTGTCGATTAATAGTCAACTGACCAATAGGAAAAGTCGACGTTTCGGAGCAGGCGCGGAGAACAACCAATCACATCTGCCGAATCAGGGATGGAATCTAGTTAACAATAAGGTCGATCGATTCTTTTTAGGGAGAGTAGGGGTCAACCTTTTTTTGTCGACCCTTTTTTAATAGTCGTCGACCAAATTGATTTCCGAGCGCTTCCAGAACACTATAAAAACCCTATTTTGACAAAAAGAAAATCAGGTCAAATGCCGTTTTTGGGCACCTTTTGGAAATTAAGAACAAAAATTTGCGTTTATTCGGCGCACGCTCCCGTTTAAAATTAGTATACATTGGCGCCGAAGGTGCCTCTAAAAAATTTTAGAGTTGGTCAGCCAAAAATGGATGTCATAAAATAATACCAAATGGGGGATCTTTTGATTAGTGAGGGGGTCGAATTCTGAGCGAAAAGATCGTCCGCTTCACCCCCTCCCCCTCCGCCTCCTCCCGCTAAGTCCTCCTCTGTTTGCAAAAATGTCAAAAGCGTTAGAATTTTTATTCAAAAACTGTTGGTGAAGATATTTTAGAGGTACATATTTTTTTCTTCTGGCACCCATAGGTATTCTAGGCACCTTTGCTATCATACTTGTACCGTTGCCTCAAAATCAGGCTGCGCTCAAATGATACAATAAAATTGCTCATCGTGATCTGTATTCATCGCTTTGGGTTTTTTTGACATTTATTAAGTAGCTGGTAATGGTACAAACCATTCGAGCTGTTGTAAAATAAAACTGTTAAGACCAACATACGAGCTGCACAGCTCATCACGGCGAGCTGCTGTTATCCTCCTGCTTAAGAACTAAATGCATATTTTTAAGTTATTTTTCTGGGCAGGGTATTGTTGCCTCGCCCTCAAGCAACGAGCACGGATCATGGTGGGCCTCATACATTCGACCTTTCGATTGAGAGGCGGAGACGTAACCACTTCATCACCGCTCCCCAAAAAATAAATGTAAAAAACATCAAATTTTTAGAATCCTGTTAAAGATTGTGCGGCTTCAAACTAATTTTTGTCGTTTTTTGAATTACTTTGATTGTTTTTTTTTAAATTTATAGCATGGTCTGAAACTGATAACTAGATTCTTCTGCAGAACCGAGTTCACAACAGCCAGCTGGACGTGATGGGAATATCACGTGACCTGCAGATTGCATACGGGTGCATTGAGTACATAGTGTACAATCTGAAGTCGAACGATGACTCACAGAAGGTGTCGGATGATTGGCAGTTCGTGGCAATGGTCGTCGACAGACTCTTCCTCATCATCTTCAGTGCCACTTGTTTAATCCTCACTTTCACCTTATTCTTGGAGCCATTTGTAAACTACTACACAACAGCTGAATACATTTAAAAAACTACATTCGTTTCAACCTAATATTTTCAAGAAAAAGTAACAAAAAAACTGGCAGAAGATTGTTATCTTTTGAAGCAACTCTGGGCAAGTTGATGGTTTTGGTGGTAATAAAAATTAATTGTTTCTCTGCATTTCCTACAAGTTGAAATATTTGTTGTAGTTATCATCGAAATTCAATCAGTGAATGTCAAGAACGTTTTTTTTTTCAAACTCATTGACATTTTGCCATATATATGAGCATGAAGTCTGATAAAGCATTCTACGCGTATAATGTTGTTCCGACTTTTGAAGAAAACGGAATATGTATGCTTGGGATGGCTTTTTGTTCAGTCAGTTTTCGGCGATCGAAATAGTTTTCATAGAAAACTTTTATTCCCCATCATTGAAGAAATCGACTCCCTGAAATCAAATTTACAAAGATATTTTTCGATGTTTTTTTGCAAAGCTCTTTTTGCAAGCTCTGGACCATTTCAAACGCGCTTTGAAGATTTCATTTATACTGCTGAAAGCGTAACACGCATTTCATATCTGGGGTCAATTATCCTGCACCGCAAAATCGTTCCAAATCAAATTGAGGCTAGCTAATTGGTCGTATTAATTTCGTACAACTCAAGTTTTCAAAATAGATTTTTGATATTGACCAAAATTCATAGTTCTTTAAAATTTTCTTCTCCCAAGAACTATTTGACATCAATTAAGGGGCAACTGGAATTTCAAGGCTGGGCCTTTCATACGAGCAGTCTTGTTGTTGTTTAAGTTTGTTGGTTTAAATGCAAATGTTTCCTTGTGTTTACTAATAGTAAAATTTTTTTTTAAAGTAATCAAATAACCGCTTGATTCGAAGTAATCCAACCAATAATTCAAAGCTTTATTCGAGTGCTTTGAAAAAAGTAAATTACAGCTTTAAATTGAATAAGTTTTTAAAAGTTTTTAAAGTCCTGAGTGTTTTGGCTGTCCATAAAATGTTTTCATAGAGTTTTCGGTTAATGAAATATGAACAAAATATGAGCTGTAAGCTGCATATAAGGAATCGTGTTTATAAAATCAAACACAATCAATTAGCCTGCCTCAATTGAATTCGAAACGTATCGCATTGCTTTCAAAGTATCACAGTGCATTAATCACGTTAATCTATTAAAGAGTGTTTCACAGCAAAATAATTGTCACGAAACTCTAGTCGTGAGCGCGACCCTTCTGGAATCACCAAGATGCATCGATGCATCGCGTGAAATACTTTCGAGAATTGGTCTGAATAGAAAACACTTCCGAGCATATACGTTCTTTTTTTTCGAAAGCTGGAACAACAAGACTCCTTGGATATCAGGGCAAAGGCGTGAATGATCCGCCCAGACTGCACTTCAATTGGTCACAAATAGTTTTTGAAAACTGAAATATTAACTGCATATGGAAATAAAACACCAATTAGCTTGTCTCAGTTAGGAATAATTTTGTAACGCTGGATAATTGGTATTAATAGAACTGTTTTATTTAGACTCAGTTCACTCAGACTGAAGAGTAAGGTGTTGTGCGCGAGTCCTCCGTGAACACGGAGGTGTATGGATCGTTCCCAACCATGCAGCAAATTTTCGCCTGTCGGAACAAAAATCTACCAAGATGTAGAGGATTTGAAATGCTTAGGCTTCTATATACTATAAATGATACAACTTGGAAGTTTCAAGACAAAAAAATACTTGCTTGAAGTAAGGTTTTTATTCCAGGTTTCGAAGAAAGTGACAGTGTATTTGTGATCGGGTTTTTTCTCTAGACATTTTTCGACTATTGAAAGAAAAATTTTTGTTGCATTTTTTTAAATTCAACTGAATAACATTGTTGACATAAGCTCAAAATCTAGAAAGTAATTCATCTGTGATTTTTTTGTAAAATTTTGAAGGTTTACATAATGGCAATTTCGGCATTTCGTGATAATTAACGCGCAACCTATTTCATGCTGTTAACGCGCCTTAGTTGAGATTTAATCCGTCTTAGAAATCGTATCAATTTAAATAGAAGCGTGTTTTTTGGTCTGTGTAATACTTTGTTTTATGCTAATTAGATCATTTTGTACTTAAGATAACGCGAGGGTGTATAGTTTTCAAAAATTCAAAAAATAACATTAAAATTCGTATGCATTTTTCTCTTGAAAAAATTGTCAATGTTTTAATCAAAACACTACATCATCGACTTGAAAAAGCAGTCGGAAAATTCGGGACTTCGCGTTGATACGAGCAGTCTTGTTTGAAGTCTGCTTGCATTTTAGCTCTTCTTGAAATGTCTCAAAGATAAGATGTTTATGTGCCCTTTGTGTATCAAACGCCTACTTTTTTGTAAATTGAATTGTCGTGTCCTGTTTTTTGCAGAGCGTTTTTGAGCAAACTTGTAGCTCTATTATTTAACATCGATTGCCGATTGATATTAAGTAATTTTTAAATATGGAAGTTGTAACTTCAAGAAAAAATATCCTTTGAGCTGTTCAACGTTTATGCGAAATTGTCCATTGTTAAAATTTTGTATGCAGGTTGAATATGGGTTTAAGACTGAAAAAGTCGCACCAAATATCAGCACAACAATTTGGATTATAGGCTTACTATTATGCTTATAGTATCAAATTAGCTGGTTTCAATGCTCAATATGACGTAACTTAGATGGAATAAAACATACAATTATTAATGTTAAAGTATTGGGTGCCAAATATCACATGCTTCAATTTGTTGGAATTTTGAGCTAAATTTTACAAATATTTGAGGCAGCAAATGACACTGGCATCTTATACTAATCCAATTCCGACATTAATTTCAAAATTTCGACAAATTTTGAAATTCTGACGTAAATTCCACTTCAAATGAGTTTTTCCAGCTTACCTAATTCTTGATTAATTAATCTGACACGATCGAGCTGCATTAATTTTATTGTAATCAACTCGAATTGAAAATCACAATTCAAAATTCAATTTTGATTTTATGAGGGGAAAGCAAAAACGTTGGGAAAATTTTGAAAATCTTTTGTTTGACGTTGCAAGTAATGATTTAAGCTTTCGAAAGGGATAGGGGGAGGATGTTAACTTGGTTCTAAGTTGGGAATTTTCAGCCAATCAGAATCGAGCATTGTACATGCAGCCCTTAACAAATTTTATTTAAATTCAGCGCTGGGGTGGAGGATCTTAACTTGGTCAATTTGCGGGGGGCTTTGTTGAATAAAAAAAATTAAACTTCGGCACTGTTGACTATTTTTTTTCGAAACTCTTGCACTTAGGCGCTGTTGTACTGCCCCAATTGTAGACCGCACTGCGTAGAAAAGTCAGCCAAATATATTTAAAGAATAAATTATAATAAATTGGACAAACTATGAGGATTAGTTATGTTTATCTAGCATTAAGCAATTCAACCTTTTGAATGATGAATTTGACAAATTTGGCTTGATCTAAAGGTTGAATATTCTTGACCTCAATTCGCAACCAGTGGCCTTGCCTTTTTTCAGGTGACTAACAAATTCAATGTCAAATCTGACAACTATTTGAACATGTCATTTTCGCTATTTATTTACTAAAATAAAATGGTTACAGATAGGTCAACAAACAATCTAACAATTAAGCAAACCATGTCATACATTACGTCTTATTAAAATTTAGTGATCAAATATTTGACCAACGAAGCAACTGAAAGTTTCGAATTTTGAAACGTAATTCCATTTTTTTTTGACAAAACTACTTTTACATTTTTTGTTTTTCTTGTGTTGCTTTTAGAACTTTTCAATGGATACGAAGTTTGGCTGAAGTAATAGTAATCAAAACTAAGTTATCCAAAGATTGCATTGATTATTCAATCATCAAAAGAAATCAAGTTATCAGAAAAGTTGTTTAGGTCATTTAAAATTGGCTAAGCGAGAAAAAAAATTATCCCGCTTTGAATTCTGTGCGCAAATCGGAGAGAGAAAATTCGCTAACAAGTATGTCACGTTTTGTTCACGTGACCTTGATTCTGGCTACTGTTTTGTTCGGAGTCTGCCTGGGAGTAAGGAAAGGGAGCTGTCCCAAGGTCAAACCCATCACCTTCGACCCAAATGATCTAGGGGGAACCTGGTATGAGGTAATTTAAATTCAAATTCAGTATATCAATTTCGTTTTTTTTTAAAAGTGGTCGCTTAGTGAAATGAGTCAATTCGGGTCTATCTAAAACTAAAATCCTTCTGTGTTTATTACTTAAGCAAACCTCTACCCCCCCCCCCCCCCCCCCCACCCCCTCTATAAGGATTATCTTGTTGGTTGCCTATATAATATGAATTGAAGCTTGGCAAATTCAGACGGCTGAGGATTCGGATTTTTCAAACGTTTGTTTATTTTCTATTAGGATGACAGTTTGGATGACAATTGAGCTATCCCAAAACAGTAAAAAGACATTTTCTTAATAAAATTTTTTGGGCATCAATAAACAATTACATTTTGAGTGTTTATTTAAGATTTTTAGTTCACGGGGACAATTTTCCTTCTCTTTTTTCCTAACTTCTTCCTTAAAATGAATGGCGAATTTCTGAAATATTTCCACAAACAAAAAAGTTTACAAAAAGAAATAGACAAAAATTTTAATTGAAGTAGTAACTGTCTTTCCAGCTGATAAAAAACGGGCAAAATCAAGAACAACAAGGAACATCAAGATAAAAGACGCTTTTGAAAAATTTGATTTTGGCGCGCCGAAAAAAAAAACCAATTTTTGACCTGATTTTTTACAGCGGTGAAAAGAGGGTATTTATAGTGCTCTGGGAGCCTTCGGAAAATCAATTTGGTCGAACTTGCAAGAAATGTTGAAAACAAAGGAAATATACCCAAAATCTCAAATCAATTTTTTAGAAGCTTTAAGATAAAAAATTTTTGCGAATGATTTAACTGGTAGAAAAAATCCAATTAATTGGTACTGTTACTTTTTCAACAAACTGAGTAAACCTTGAAACCTTGAAATTCTTGTTTAAAAATTACTTTTGGCGTTTTAGCATTAAATACCGTATTGTCTTATGTTGACAAAGTTTTAGGGCGCTGGATTGTTTGTTTTTAAAATGAAAAAGACCTGTTTCTGAACGTTCGAAACTAGACTTAAGGGACCTAACATTTTTGAGCTGTTTACTGTTCTGACTTTCGAAAAAATATGGAATACTTTTGATCGTGTTTTTTTTACTTCAGAAAAATGTTGACCTTTTAACTAGCTATTTTGAGCAGTTTTTTGCAATCTAAAATTTTTTGACAAAACTTTGATGAGAAAAATTAAAACAAGCTTTGAGACCACAATTATGTTTGTTATGATAAAAACACTATCAAAAATGCCCCAATTAGCACAAATTTTATTTCAGTTCCAAAAGAAACGGGCTTTTTTCATTTTCCTCAACTTTTCAAATCTTCTTTTTTATAGTTGTTTTACGTGTAGTTATGGCTAAATTCATGACGTTGCGATATAATTTAAAAGTTCATATAATTCGTTAGTTTATTCACCATGCCAAGTTTTATTGCATGATGACTTCATTATAATTGCATTAAAATAAGTATTTAAAATTGAAACTGAAAAGTTTTATAGAAGTGGAATAGAGCCTGGAAACAACTTTAAACATTAGAATGCGACTTGATTTTTCATACTGAAAAATAGTTTTCTATCATCGGAAACAGTTGCTATATTTTGAACTGTCGAAAATAATACTTAAATATGCAACTCAAAGTAAGTAATTGACAGGATTAAATGTAAGAGCCTCGGAAAAATTGAATGAATCCGGCTGAAACTGTTGGGCTGTAATTTTATGGGGTTTGGTATGATAAGGGCTGAATTAAAAGGCTGGTTTGATGTCGGGTGATATTGAAGGACACAGAGCTAACGACGATAAGAATCCTTGAGCCTTGTCATCCTTGTCATCCATATTTTTTTTGCAAACCATCAATTTTTTCAAAACTATTAAGTTTCAAATTATAGGTTTTCTAGGGCGGAAAAATGATACTAGTACTTCTCGAATCACGATTAAAAAGCATGATCATTGTCTTCAAGCCACAAATTTAAAATAGTTGTTCTTGAAAAAACTTTCATCGCAATCTAAAGAACTTGTGTGAAAAAAATGTAATCATCCGTCTAACTTTTCTGAAAGGGTTTCTATGAATTATATTTTTAAAAAGTCTTTTAAACGCATTTTTTTCAATTTTCAAAATCCATAGTCTGTTTTTGTTTCCAGATTGTAGTTTAATTGTGATTCACTCCTTTCTTTTGAATTTCACGATTGTCTTTCAGGTCGCGAAAGTAGACAATTCGGCCAAGAACAAGCGGGTGTGCAGCACTGCAGAGTTCACTTTCACAAAAAACAACAAAAGTTAGTAATATATCTAACTTAATAACAATAATAATCAAAATAATAATAAAAAGACTGCTCGTATATCAGGGCAAAGCCCTGAATGTTCCGGCTGTCCCTTAATTCATATCGAATTACAGAATAGTTTTTGGGAAAAAAAGTATTGAAAAACTTGCATATTTTGGACAATATCAAAGTGTGAAATGTTGAGTCGTATAAAAATTAATACGACCGATCAAATTATTTAGCCTCAATTCAATTTGGAACGATTTTCTTGCGCGGGATAATTCACCACGCATACGTAATTCGCGTTACGCTCTCAGCAATATGAATAAATTCTTCAAAGTGCGCATAATTCAGTCCAGAACACGGCCAATTTGGGATTTTTCAAACCCCCAGATTTTTCAAAAAATAATCGGAGAAAAAATATCTTTTTACATTTTAACTCAAGAAGTCAATATTTTTAATGATGTATAAAATTTTTTGTTGAAAACTGTTTTTTTTGATCGGCGAAAATTGACTGAATAAAAAAACCACCCCTGAATAAACTGCTCCTATCAGGGCGAATCCCTAAATGTTCCGACTGCATTGCAAGGTCTATGGAGCAGTAGTAAAAATGTAGAAAACAAAATGAGAAAAAAATTCAATTTTGAGATTTTGTTTTGTGAAAATCATCACCCCACATGCCATATAAAATACAAAAGAATAGATTTCGCTCCTTGTAACAAATCAACTAATTCTTATAACAAATAATTAAAATCAGCTTCTTTCAACTAATTTGGATTGATTTATAAGCGGATTAAATCTCCGCTTACGCGTTAATAGCGCGAAATACATCGCGCGTTAATTGTCCCAAATTGGCCAAAATGGCAACTTTTAAAGCCCCATAACTTTACGAAAAATAATCACAGGTGAAATATCTTTTCAAATTTAAGCTCAAGACATCAATACGTTTTGAATGATAAAAAAAGTTCCTTCAAAAATGGCTGGTTAAAAACTCGAAATATGTCTGGAGAAAAAAAACCAACCCCGAGCACAAATTCTCCGGTACTTTCGAATCGAAAGTCGGAAGAATAAAAATATACAATAAATATTATTTAATTAGTTTTAGTAACATTGAATGATAAAAAAAGTTCCTTCAAAAATGGCTGGTTAAAAACTCGAAATATGTCTGGAGAAAAAAAACCAACCCCGAGCACAAATTCTCCGGTACTTTCGAATCGAAAGTCGGAAGAATAAAAATATACAATAAATATTATTTAATTAGTTTTAGTAACAAAATGGCTGGTTAAAAACTCGAAATATGTCTGAAGAAAAAAAACAACCCCGAGCACAAATTCTCCGGTACTTTCGAATCGAAAGTCGGAAGAATAAAAATATACAATAAATATTATTTAATTAGTTTTAGTAACACATCTGTAATGCAAACTAGATTCTCTTAAAAAATCAGATGAACGAATGGACTTCAAGAGACTTATTTTTTGCTCTGATTGACGCTAGAAGATTTTTGTAGATCTACTTGAAACCTGTGGGCTTAATTTTTAAATTTTTAACTAAAGTTTTTTTTAAAATTTTGAGACAAAACGAGCATATCAAAAACATATTTTTGAATTTTTTCTTGAATTTAGAACATTTTGTTAGAATTCTTGAACTGTTTATCATATTTGCAGTCAAAAATTATTGTTCCGACTTTCGATACGAAAGTAACGGAATCTTTGTGCTCGGGGTGGTTTTTTTTCTTCAGACAAATTTCGACGTTTTAACTAGCCATTTTTGACGGAATTTTTCTTTTATCAATCAAAAACTATTGTTTTCCTGAGTTTAATTTTGAAATATTTTTCACCTGTGATTATTTTTCGTAAAGTTATGGAGGTTTAAAAAGTGTCATTGCGGCCAATTTGGGACAATTAACGTGCGATATATTTCGCGCTATTAACGCGTAAGCGAGATTTAATCCGTATTAGAAATTGTTCCAAATTGATTCAAGGAAGCTTATATGCCATAATTGATTTGTTAATAGGAGCAAAGTCTATCACTTTGTACTAATTATGGCGTGTGGGGGGACGTTTTCACAACAAAAAAAAAGAATCTCAAAATTAAAAAAATACTTAATTTCATTTTATTACATTTAAACTTTTCAGGTTGTTGCTGCTCCATAGACCCTAAAAGGAAGTCGGAACATTCAGGGCTTCGCCCTGATCGAGCAGTCTTGTTTTTTATATAGTTTCTCTATAGTGAGCAAACAGACCTTCAAATAAAACCTAGCTAAATTAACTCCCTCTTTGCTTCTTTTGTAGATGAGTGGAGCTTTCAGATGAACAGCACTAGTTACGTGGAAGGGACTCACTTTGAAAGTATGATAATAGAACCAAGACCAGCATCGGCAAATTTGAAAGGAGAGTACTAGATGGATCGGCGATAGAAGAACATCTTATTGCAATTTTCTACATTTCAAGTATTTCTTCATATGTTAGGCAAAGAAAAAGTTAAGACAAAAACTCGACCGAGTAACTATTAATAAATCATATCCATCCAAATAATTGTTTGGAGCCATACACACCTTTAGAAAAACTTGGGGTTCGGTTGGCCGAAAATATAGAGCCAAAGGGGGCTTTTTAAATGGCGAGGGGTCAAATCCTTGAAGGAGGGGTGAATCTCCTCAAATTTAGAGAGTCATGGTCTGTTACGAAGATTATGGTCATTATGAGAGTTATGGTTCCATTTATGGACTCTTAAAAAAATAATTTTCACCAAAAGAAAACTTATATCGCCGATCTCTACAGGGGAGTTCATGGTCGGGCCCAGCTTGATCACAAGTCCCAACTTCTTCCTAATTTACTCCGAGCCCAACTTCGCCCTCACTTTCTTATGTCAACCCGTTAGTCCCTTTTTCAAATCAGACAAGGCCTGGATCATGAGCAGAGAACAGCACGTCTCGCCTGAAGACCTGTTTCGACTGGAGAAAAAACTGAGATCTCTCCAAGTTGATCTGAAAATGACAAAGGTATGAAAAAATGAGTTCGGTGTTTTTCTGATTCAAACAAAACAACTGATCGCATTTCCACTAAGTTAAAAATACAAAAGAACTGCGGTTGCTCTAGAATTAACAAAAAATGATTTAATCTTAGTGCCTGCTTTCATGCCTGCTTTTTGGCGGCCAACTTGCGGGCTTTGGCTTTAACTTTAGAACTAAGGAAATCACGGAAAACATCCCGCACCGAAGTTTCTCGGATAAAACTAGATTATATTGAGAAAATGTTGCCGAAAATATTGCCATTATAATCGATTATGTGTAACCAATTTAAGCAACATTTTCTATTATAATAGAAAGAAAATAGATTATTTTCATCAAGAATATATTGCCTTGTAATTCCACTAAAATGTATTTTTATCTCCATATAATCTCAATAAAATCTATTTTTTTTGCCCTGAAATCGCCATGAAATCGCAATAAAATCGATTGTTATTGCCATAAAATTGCAATAAAATCTATTGTTTCCGCCATAAAACTGCCATAAAATCGCAACAAAAACTATTGCTATCGCCATAAAATTGCAATAAAATCGATTGTTGTCAAAAAATTTAATTATATTGTCAGAAAAATTAATTTTTCTCTTCTTAAAGCGTGCTATATGAAAACTCAAAGCAAAAGTTGAATTCAAACCAAACGACACAAATCATGAAAATCATCAAAATGAACAAGATTTTCGGCACAAAAAATATGCAACAAAAATACAAAATATCATCATTGTAAATCAGATTTTGTGCAAAAACATATGTAAAAATTCAATAATATTGTAAATATAAACCAGATTTGAGCTCAAAAATATGCAATGAAATCATAGTAAATCATTATTGTAAATCAGATCTTGGGCAAACACAATTGTAAAGATTCCAGAAAAATGTCAATATTAACCAAATTTGAGCTCGAAAATATGCAATGAAATTATAGTAAATCATTATTGTAAATCAGATCTTGGGCAAAAAATTTACAAAACAAATGATTAAATGGGTTAATATAAATCACATTTTAAGCTCAAAAATATGCAATGAAATCATAGTTAATCATTATTGTAAATCAGATCTTGGGCAAAAATTTTTAAAAGAAATGATTAAATGGGTCAATACAAATGACATTTTGAGCTCGAAAATATGCAACAAAAATGTAGAAAATCATCATTGTAAATCAGATTTTGCGCAAACACAATTGTAAAGATTCCTCTCTCTAAATCCAAGTTGCATCTCTCGCATTTGGCACGTTTACGTTAGATATTGCTCTTAGCACTCTGTAGGTTTTCGTGCCTTCTATCACAGAGATAAAATTTGTCTGGGTGTAAACTCTTCCGACAAGATTCAGCGAAACAAACACTCAATAAAATCAAAACTTTTTAACAAAATCAAAACGAGGATACCCCACCAGCTGAGATAGTACAAATGGTATCTACAAGTCCACCATGTTCCCGACCCCTCGCCCGACTTAATCGGTTACAATCTGTAAGAAGCCAAGCCAAAGGACAATAGTTTGACCTCCTAGAACACCTTTTCAGTTGATCACCATCTTCATCGAAAAGCGTAGGAAGAAACGTCATACTAAACGAGAATTCCTGCCCAGAACAACAGAGGGAGTAGTCTCCTTTCAGGTCAAAATCGTCCGAAAACAGCTGCGCCCAGAAAACAGCTGCGATTATCGTGAACATTAAAACTTGATCTGAAAATTAAAAACATTAGAAAAACATCATAGTATTCACCAAATCAAATATGGGTCGGATTGGCAGCAGGCATGAAAGATGACTGTATTCAACAAAAAAGACTTTTAGATTTTATTCTAAGATACATTATCCAACTCCCCCATTACAATACGATGCAAATTAAACAAATTTACGAAGTCTTTTTTGTTGAGTTGAGTCATTTTTCATACCTGCTGCTCATCCCGCCAATTCAAATCAAATTTATTATTTCGAGTTCTGATGGGATTGAGAATGATGTAAGAACAAGACACGTAACAAAACTTGAAGTTCAGTTCGAAATTTACTTAAAAGCTTGTTTTGCTGCTAAAAATCTTATATTTCCATGCTCAGGCAACTAAGAATTCGAAAAAGTTGACGTCGCACATTTTTGTGTTTTTGATCGAATTTTTATATCAATTTTGCTTATATTATAATCTATTATAATCTATTATAATCTATTAAAATTCCAACATAATGGTCATAAAAATAAAGCTTTTTAATGGATTGTTTTCTCCATATAATCGATTATTTTACTCTGCGACCACAAAATCACCAGATAATTGATTATTAAAAGAATAATTTTTGGTTCGACCACAAAATCGCCAGATAATAGATAATAATCGGAGAAACTTCGGTGCGGGATTGTTGGGTGCTTAAACAACAATTTAAGCACATTATTTCAATTTGCTTGCTCAACAACGCAGTAGCTAGTGTCTGAAGAGTTTAATTGCAGCCCTTCAGGCAAAAAACAAATAAATTATAGCCCCACCCCTCCCCCTATCCTGTGGCTGTGACGTTATTATTAGTTAGGGGGGCATAGTTTACTGCGAGTTTTTATCATGGAGAGAATCAGGGGCGGATTTCTCCTAGAGATTCGACCCCTCCCCACCCAAAGGTACTTTTTTGAGACATATATTTTCGGCCAACCGACTCTTAAGTTTTTGTAAAGGTGCCTTCGAAATTTATACTAATTATGGAAGTAAAACAATTTTTACTATTTTAGGACTGTTTTTTTTCAAAAACTTGACAGAGGCACAGTACATGGTCTTTATAGTGCTTCGGGAGAGTTCGAAAAATCAATTTGGTCGGCCTAAAAATCAGAAAAAGGTCGACAATGTTTTCACTCATATGTTGAAAATCCCCCTTGAGAAGAAACACCCATATTTTATTACAGCTCAAACTATACTAGAAAACTTGCATATTTTACATCACTTAACACCAGTTGAGGTTTATTTGCGGTAAAAAATCTGTTCAATTACACCACCCCCCCCCCCCCCTTATTGCAAAAAAGGCCAACGGCAGGAAAATCTAATACGGTTAGAAATTTAGTTTGTGGTTACCGTTGAAATAGTCATTCATAGGGGTATATATATATATTTTTTTTTTCTAAAGACTAAAGAATTATTAGAACTCATTTTTTCTTTTAAAGGGTACTCTTTCGACTTTTAAGACGTATCCTTTCAGCGTTTTTTTAATTGACCGCGACTGATGTCCATTTGACGACTGCTGTAGGTAAATCAAAAGCACAGCGCTTGTTATGATGGCGAAGTTTCAACAATAGATGATGCAAAATCGTCAGGTTCTGAGCAACAAGATGACCCGGAATCGGAAACTCAGCAGGAATCCGGATTGAAGTGGGACTTCGCTCTTCTGGACGAAATTGAAGTTTGAAAGAGTTCGGAAGGAAAGAAAAAACTAATTTTATTTATACAGCATCCAGATTCATCAATTTACATCAAAATTGCTAAATTTGCCATGTCACGAAATTCGTATCACTCTGCATGGTTAACTTACCATGGTGCACGAAGTATGATTACGGTGAGAAAAAAAAATAAAAAGAGCGACATAAAATTGCGCTGAAAACCTTTAAATTATGTTAACATAACATTGCTATAGACAAAAAAATATTTTGTGAAAAATTTCAATTATTTTCGGATATGGCGATCTAGAAGTTTTCAGGTTGCGTTAATAAAATATGAATTTGAAGCAATTTTTTAAATTTAGTATCTCCTAGATATATATTTAGCGGATGAAATTTCTTTTTTTTTCAGGCAAGCTGAACAATGATTTTGATCAAACACAATCATATCACTTAGCTCAAAATAATTGGCTGGGTAATTTGGATAGATATATCAAAGAAATTTCTCGTGCAAATTGAAAAAAAAAAAAAAAAAAATTTTTGATTTTTTGTTAACTTGCAAAATGTTAATGGTTAGCTTGCAGTTGATAAATGAACATTTACTTCTGTTTTTGACGCTTTCTCTGCAACTATTTCAAATTTGGGGTTAATTTGAGAAACTCTATTTTGAAGAAGTAAAAACAGCCAGTATATGATGACTAGTTTGCAAATTACACCAGTAATTTGATTTTTTATGGACTAAAGTTTCATCTGGCATGTAAGAAAGTTTCAACCCTATATTTTAAAAACGTAACAAATTCTTCAGCCCTATGTCTTGATACATCTAGCATGTAACAAGTAATCAACTCTATGTTATAACGATCTAAACGTGAAGAAAAAAATTTGTTCATTTTCTTGTTGAATTTAAAAGTTTGCATTTTCTAATTCCCGGCACTGTAGAAATAGGATTTAATGGTTAGGCTACGCAAATTTCCGAGAAAAATTTCAAGATAAGCGAGCACTTTTTGACGTCAACGATGCTAAACGATTAACCAGCAACCCATCCTGGAAAGTTAGTAGAGAGTAAAGTGACGCTTTGAAATAAACAAAATATTCTCCGACAAAACTTATTGATTTCTTTCCACGCTTTCCTCTTCTAGTTTCGTAGGTGGACTACTTTGAAACCAGCCTTTTTGTTTTCCAGCCTGAGAACTGGAAAATAAAAAACCGGTTGGGAGTGGTTAAGTGGACAACCCATTCTGATAATCAAGCTTTATATTAGTCAGAAAAACAGAAAGTAAAATTTAATGGACTTAAAGTATGAAGCAACATTTGGTTTCAGTTGAGCTTTTATCAAACTACCTGATTTTTTTGGTGAAAAATCAGATGAACCAGGTGAAAATCAGATGAGCGTCATTTTAAAACCTGAGAAACAGGTGGATATTATAACTTTTTTGTTCTACCAAGTTTTTCCAACTCTACCAAGTGTTTTCAAGGTACCTGAACTCATCTGAAAAAATTACCAATATGTAATTCAGATGATACCAAAAATTCGGATAAAAAAGTTTTCGAGAAAAAAACAAAGAAATATTTTCATTGCAATTGGAATACAGCAAACCAATCAAACAATCAGGATTATTTGTTCCAAAAACTGCCACTGATGCATCTGTAGGTGATCTGCGTTTTACCAGGATAGATTTTGCTGCATGAGTTGATATTTAAGTTTTACCAAAATTTTTATTTTCGCTAAAATTTAACAAAATCTATGCGGTCACAATTGATTGTCTTCAGCACTGAAAAGCTTTTTAAAATCAGGGCTCTAAATTAGAAAGCTTTGTCACAGATTGTGGCTGCTAGTTACCAGAAATAAGCTTTTCTTTTAAATCAAACAAAAAATTTAAAAAAAATGATTTAAATTAATTTTTTGAACGTTTTGAACGTTTTAACCAAAGTGATAAAAAAAATTTCATACGGAAAAAACGCTTTTTTGATAACGTTATTTTACACGGAAATATTGCTTTTTTAAAAAAAAAAAGTAAATCGCAGATAAAACTTATTTCATAACAAAACCAAAATTCAAAATTGAACTGGGAAAATGTCATTAGTTAATTTTTCATTAATCTGATGACGAAGAAATTTTGATTTGCTTGTCTTTGATTTTACGTAAAATTAGTTTCGTTAAAGCTTGTCTACGACATTTGAACTTTAATCTTTGCCGAACCTAATTTTACCACATTTTTGACATGATTATGCCGCCAAATTAGTAAACTGAAAGACTCAAAACTCAAAAATCAGAAAGAAATCATTTAAAAGCAACAACTAAACTACGATTTGAAATTGGAATCTGAATCACCCAAAAGTATTGCCATTGTCATTGGCGCCCAATAGTTTTTAAAACAAAGAAACCGAAACCAAGGTTTTTTTTTGTTGGAAAAATCAACGAACCCATCCTTATACTAACCAGTCATATAGTTTATTATTTTTTTTTTTGGATTGTAAGTTCCAAAGAAAAAAAAAACTCAAAATCATTTTTTTTTGTTACAATACAATTGCGAGGGTTCCATGTAATCAAAGGAATTACATATTGGCCATTTACATTTTTGTCTGACACGTCAAAAAGTGAATTAAGTTTAGGAGACAAAGTCAATTAAAAATGAATTCAACCTATGATGCTGTTTTTAAAGTCATAGAAACAGACGTAGAAATTTTAGCAAAAGCAATTAACCAAGCCATAAGCGATTCCGACGAAGTACAGATCATAAACGATTTCTTAACGGAATTGAAGAGCTTGCTTGACGATGCCAATAACGAAGCAGTCAAGATAATACACACCGGAACGGACCAGCAAGACTCAATCATTGAACGATTGAAAACTTTGAAAGTTTTGTACCGAACGATCCAACTACGATCAAAACGATACGAGCGTACCCTCAACAACACTGCCACGTCTTCTTTAAACTCATCACGAGTAGCCAGCAACGTCTCGACGCCTTCAATAATACGACAAGCCTTGAAAAATCTTCCCCTTCGACGCCAAACGGAAAGTTTAACCCGTAGTACCACTACACAAAACGTCACCATAGACCAGGACACCCCGGACGATTTGCCACAATTTTCAGGATTGCCAGCAAGCTTAAACGCTACTTCAAACCACAGATCAAATTCCGCCCAGGACAATTCAGGACTCCTACTTCGCCCCGGATCTAACAGCGACGCCAATACCTTGGATCATCGCATTCATCAACAAAAAACAGAAACTCTTGGAACTCAAACTGCCCATGGAACTCACCTCCATCTTCAGTCAAACCTCTCATTGCAGCAGTCGAACGCCGACTTGTCACAAAGTTCAAACCTTCAGCCGAACCACCCAGAAGCTCAACTTCAAGGAACGACTATAGAATTGAACAATGGAACTCAACTCCAAATCGACAATCAGCAATTGACAGCAACAGTGGGACAAAGACCGAACTCAGAAGCTCAACTTCATGAAACGTCACCACACTCCAACCCTGGAACTCAAATCCAAGTTTTCAATCAGCAGATGAACGCACCAGCAACCCAACAAAGAAATGTTTCAGCGCCAATATTTCTTCCGACAGCAACTTCAAAAGCAGCTCAGAGTCAAATGATTGGACAGCAAATCACACACCCATTTCTTGCTCCCCAGACAGCTAGCCCCCCACATGGACTATACCAGCCTTCAAGCCAACAACAGAACCAGCCTTCAAGCCTACAACAGAATCAGCATCCAAGTCAGCAACAGAGGACACATAATCCGAATAGCGCCTTTAGACCCATCTTGACGATTGGAAATCAGAATTCAACCAATCATCCCCCCACCAACGTGTTCTGTGGACACCAGACGACAGCTAAGGGTATCACAAACATCAACGGAGTACCGATACCAGCACAACCAGCACTACTGCCAACAAACCAAGGAGATCAACGAACAGCAACAAATTGGACCTCCAGCCAGCCGACCCTGACTCACCAATGTACACAACCTGCCATAAGATCGTACCAGGAAGGATTTCTGGGAACCACGACAGCATACAACCCTACGAACATGCCGACATCATCAACAAAAGCCTTCACTCATGCAGGCTGCAGGGGACCAACAGGATCAACTCACCAAAATATCAACCGACCTCCCCCTCATCAACATGCAGTCCATCAACATGCAGCACATCAACATGCAGCACATCAAAACCAGCCGTCTTATTTTCCTCCGATTCCTGCCAACCTTGGAACAGCACCGACAGACCACACCCATCATCAAACGATCTCGAAGACATTCAGGAAATCAGTGCCCATTGTCAAACCATTCATATTCGACGGAGAACCTGAACAATGGTTAGATTGGATAGGACTGTTCAACGCAACCATCAACAGCACCGACATGACAAACTCGGAAAAGATGACACATCTGCAGAAACTTGTATCCGGAGATGCAAAATCTCTTATCCGAGGATATGGATGCAATGGAGCAATGTATGACGCAGCCCTTCAGCGACTGGAAAACGACTTTGGTAACCCGACGAAGATAGTTACATCCTTCCTTCGACGACTCGACGCCATCAGCGGCCCCAATCTACGACATACCAGAAGCTACAAGGACCTCGCCAACTTCCTACAGACAATGGTCGATACATTCACGACACTTGGATTCCAGCACGATCTACACTCTACGACAAATGTCCAAACAGTTTTGTCAAAACTGCCTACCCCTTGCCGACTAGAATGGAATAGATACAATCTGCAATGCAACATCAGACAACCATCACTCATCGACCTCACCAATTGGTTCAACATCTACGCCGAAGCATGCAGCGATTTGCCGAGCCACAGCAACAACAACAACACCAGAAACAGCAGCAGCAACAACAACTACAACAGCAGCAACACTCAAGGATCATCATCCAACGGTCACACCCACCAACATGGACCATCGGATCACCGCGCCAATCAGAACCACCGGAACCAGCAACGCAGCCAGCAGCAACATAAATCTGGACAAAAGGATCAACGACGAGATTTTTGCCCGGAGAAACGCAATTGCCAGTACCTTGGAAAATGCCATCACTTCATCGCAATGAACCCAAAGGACAGATTACAGCATGCCAGGGACCTACAACTATGTTTCAACTGCCTCAGCCCCCACAAGTTCGCCGACTGTCAATCAACGCAAACCTGCCGGACGGACGGATGCAGTAAGAAACACCACACACTTCTGCACAACAGCAGCACCTACAACTCGACGACACAAAGGGAGAC